CGATAAGAGCGCTCTCCGGTTATATCTAAAGTTTTTTAAGCATAAGTAGACAAATGAAAATATGTGCATGTATGTACACATATGAATATATTGGTCTTTTGCGTGACCCACTTGGTACCTATTAGCTTTTCGTGCCATTACTTAGAATGGATACATTTTAATACGAATTTAATTCTTACAACTCACGGCTCTGTTTCCGATTTTATATTCGTGTCATCCTCTCCAATTCTAATTGGCTATATTTGAGATAATTTAAATGAAAACCAAGGTAAGGCCGCACCTTATTATAAAGATCAATAAATTGTGATAAGGTGCGTCCCAAAATAAAAACGCCCGACTTAATACAAAATTCTGCACGATATAGCAGTATATAGACCGTTGGCCGGCATATCTTTCAGAATGGCTTCAAGGCTTCGACGTCCTTATACCCTTTTCTGTTTATTGACAAATGTAGAATTCCAAAAGGTAATAGTCATATAGAGGCAAGTTAGTTGAATATGGACAGTAATTTATCATTAAGATTCGATTTTGAGTAAAAAAAAAAGCAAGGCACCCAATTGCTTGGTTAAAATGTGCAGAATAGTCCATTTGGAGATTTTTCTTCTACTCTGTAATGATTATGTGTCCGAATGCTAAGTTTTGTCAGGTTAGGTATATTTTCAAGGAAGTTAAAGTTATAAATTTAAGCTTTTCCACTTGTTTTCATTTCCATTAATTTCATCACTGATTTTGGCGGTTTTCTTTTAGGAAGTCATTCAGTTTTTCTTAATCACGAATTTTAGCTTTCAAACAAGTGCAAGGATAAGCAATTATCGCCCGAAACTTGTTTCATTAATTTAAATATTTAACCGAGCTTAATATTTGCTCTTTGTTCGATCGTCATTTTTGTACCGATATCATAAACAAAATGTTACTTTGTGTGCGATAATCTGGCTTCTATGCATCATCAAATTTAGACCAGAGTTAGTTATAATTATTTTGGCATATAGTCAACATTTAACAAGAGAGAACGCTACAGTCGAGCAAGCCCGACAGTGAAATACTTTGTATTGTTGCAGTTGGTGGGGTTGTACTGGAGAGAATTTGTTTCGCTAATAACTTTTCTCAGAATTTACCGATTTGCATAAAACTAGTAACTAAAGATAACTGTACATAGATTGTGTGTGCAAAGTTTGGTTTATGTAGCTTTTGAAATGTGGACAGTATTGACGAAATTCTGTAGCGGGAGAAGTGGGGAAAATTCCAAAAAATAAAATAAACTTGTCATTTCTCGGACCTAGGAGAATCTGGATGCCAACTTTGGTTATTCTAGCTCTTATAGTTTCTGAGATCCTTGCGTTCATCCAGACGGACAGACGGACGGACAGACGGACGGACGGACGGGCATGACTAGATCGAATTCTCTCGTCATGCTGATTCAGAATATATTTTATGGGGTCGGACATGTTTCCTTCTGCCTGTTACATACTATGACCCTTTTTACCCTACGCGTACAGGGTATAAAAATGAATTTGTAAAATGTAGAATTTGTAAATAGCTCTTTGAATTTAAAAACTTTCCATAAGAGATTCTTACAGCGTCCATAAAATAAAGAACTCGACTCTCCATTTTGATAACTATCCTTATAAAATAACCACTTTTTATTTATCAATGAAAACTAGCCTCGGCACACTCACTTTTCGACCTTTTCGTCGTGTTCGTTAACTTGAAAGTGAAATTAATATAATATGTATTGCTCTTAAAGTTATCAAAACGGAAAAATTTAAAAGTTGAACTGTGTGTTTATTTATTTTATGGCTTCTCATCAAAAATACATTTTTGTTAACACAAATAAAAAGTATAAATGGCTCAAATTTCAGTTGAATTTTTTCCCTGTCTATTTAAATTAGGGCTCTACACTTTTATGGCTCTTATTTTCAGCAACACGGCGTACCATTTTTCCTGTACACCGTTGTTTATTTATTTTTTGAATGAGAGCATCGCACCCAAAACTATGTGGAACAAAGGCCCAAAAGTATGCTGTTATGCTCTGTTTTTCATGTAACTAAAAACTGGTTAAGGGCCAATCCTATTAGGCTGCTTTTGGATTTTGTTTTTGTGTTGCCCACCGCACTTTGCAATTTGATATATAGAATAATGTCGGAGGCCATGTACATTTTTTATTGGCACCCACAGTCATCCACCTTGGAACAAACAATTTTCAATTAAGGCCTAAACTATGTAGCCGTTTACATGTTTTTACAAAATAACTTTTTGAAATTTAATTGACTAACTGGCCAAAGTTGTGCTGCCAGAACAAAGTTATGCAACAGACCCAAACTATGCGACAGGTTAAAGGAATAAAAGCAAAACCTAATTGACTAACAGCTGCCTGCGGAAGTTAGTTGATGTGGTATTAAAAAAGCTATGGAAAGTTGGGTAAAGTAAGCAATGTAGAGTAAATAATTTCGATACTCAAGATATGCGTGTGTGTATAATTTCCTGCGCTAACGCTCTGCAGTGGTCTCATTATAGGCTGTTATAAGTATAGCTGTATGATTCGCATTAGAGTTGAATGTGAGCTAATAAATGGCATATACTCGTATCATACACATTTTACGAATAAGTATTAGATGACTTAAATATTAAACGTATTTCTTAATAAAGCCATAAACTATAGCGCAATTAAAAATACCAGGTACATTGAATTCCTGAATAATGTTGTCTTCTCACAGCCTATGGTCGGTCCTATGTTTGCAAAGAAAATACCAAGGGAGTCAAAAGTTTGGAATAAAAGTTACATGAGATATATGATGGCATTTGTAATTTGTTTAAAAAAATAAGTCATTTTTTAACCCTTTCACCTTTCCACATCTATCTACCCATTTAAGTAGCAGCTGTCACAGTTAGGCCCTACGTGGTGGGCTCTTTTATAACAAAGTCATCAGAAACAATTTTAAACAAACGTCTAAAGCTGTGCTTCATATTTTGTTTGTTGCTTGGCTCGCAGCTGTTGTTGCTAAAGTTCCTCAAACTATGCAACAGTTTTACATATTTTTTATTTAATTGACCATAGCTGGTGGCTGGTTGCAGCAGCAGATGCTTCTATAGTACTTGCCATTCTTTGACCCCAAAAATAAGTCACATGCTGCTATTTAAAGAGCAATTTTATGTACATTTAAGCCTGGTTAAACAATATGCTCGTGCTTTATTAGCTCAATAAACTGGGCTCTGCTCCCAGGCGAGTTACAAGCATAGCCAGAAGCTGGAGCACAACTGAGCTGCCATGTTAATAACATCAAATATTAATTAACTCGTGCAGGCATATTACACTTGCACCCACACACACACACATACACAGAATGTAGCATATTTATGCTTGTGTTTGTGTGTGTGTATGCTTATACGTCTTGTGGCGCCCATAAGTGTGCTGTGGTTTCTGTTTCTTACTCATTTCTTTAGGTTCTTGTTTTTTTTTTTGTGCTCTTTACTCATATTTGAGGAAGCCGGCAGGCAGCCTCGTTTATAATTCATTATAATTAAATTGTTTGCTGGCAGCAGTTAAGTTTGAAATTTAAATTGTTTGTGGTTTCAGTGTTTGTTATTTTTTGGTTGTTGTTTTTGTTTGAAATATTGTTTGTGTGTGCTTGCGTAAAAGCTTTCCACACACACACACAGGCTCGCCTACATACATATGTACATATGTAGATACGAACATGCATGTGTGCGGTCTGTTTAGTTAACTTTCTGTGCTTAATTATGCTTACCACAAAAGTTTGCCTGCAACGTTGGTCGTGGCCGTCGCCCCTTTTTTGTGGCTCTGCATTTTGAATTTTCGTAATGACAAAAAGATATTTCGACAGCAAAAATAAATTGCTAACGACAACAACAACTACAACAACGCCCCATTCTGCTACAACAACACTGCTGGTTTTGTTATTCTTCATGTTGTTGTTTGTCGTGTATTTTTTTGTGTATTTCGGCCACGTGTGAAAAAATGCGGCTTAAAATGTATTAAAAGCATATACTGTGTAGTTTGTCTGTGCATATGCATGTGTGTGAATGTGTGTGTGTGTGTGCCTTAGCGTGTGAATGTGTCTGTGTGTAAGTCAAGGTATTATATTACCGTTACCGCCATATCATATATACACACACACACACACCATCTGGAATATACCTTAAAAGCATTACACGGCACGTCTGTTGATGTTTTTCCTGCTTTGTGTGTGCGTATGTTTGTATAGTTATTGTTATTACCTTTGTTGAATGTATGCGTGTGCATGTGTGTGTGTGCGTGTGCGTTGAGGTTGCTGTTGATTAGTAAATAGCTCTATGTCTATATGCGTGTGTGCGTATGTGTGAGTTGCCTCGTTTTTATAAGCCCTTGTTGTTTTGGTTGCGTTGTGTTTTCGCTACCTTCCGGTTTCATCTCCGGCTAACAATGACGAGCTGAATGCCCCTTGCTCAACCCCTTCTAACCTCACTTCCTTTCTCCGGCGTACCGCAACTCGCCTTTCGCCGCTCACCCCTTGGGCTTCTCGTTATAATTTATGCGCCCAAGATATGGCAACTCTGGCCCACAGTCAACAGCAAAAAACTCATCGCATACGTGCCCGCAATTGTTTCAATTTCCCGCATAACTCATACGCCCAGGTTGCCCGGCAGTCTAGTCTGGTAGGTCCATAGTAACAGCATGAAGAGAACGAGAACGAGAGCGAGAGAGATGCGAGAAGCGAGAGAATTTCCCATAGCCGCTTTAAAAAACAGCTGTGCAGCATTGCCAGCAGTGAAGAGAGTACTCAGTCCAGTCAGTCCCTTTGCTTTAATGGGGCAATGTTGAAGCGACAAAGTCGACGCCAAGTTTGAAAAGAAAAAATTGAGCGCAAGTGCAGAGCAAATTAGAGTCTCGACTGTCAGCGTGCCTGCCTGCCTGCCTGCTTGCCGCCTGCGTCACCTGACATTGAACAGGGCGCATAATCCATGTGCATGCGTATGTGTTTGTGTACAAAAAATATCCCTAGCACAGCGAGCAGCCGTTGTCGACGTCGTTGTCGTCGTCGTCGTCGGACTGCTTCGTACACTCGCGCCGTAGCTTCTCGCCCGTAAGGAAGTGCTGTGCGGATAATTTTCGAAGTTACGCTTCAGTCGCTGTGTAACGCGTCGCGCGCAGCAAATTTACCCAAAATTATACACATACAGGCCATCAGAGCCAGTCAAATACATATATCTAGTATATCAGCTTTACTTCATATTGTATACTTATTCAACGGCTTCACGAAATTTTGCGGTTAGTTGATGTGGGCAGCGAAACGAACTAAAGAAAAAACCAGAGAAGAAAGTCGCAAGTGCCAAAAATTGCATATAATTATTCCCAACAAATTGTTGGCTTGCCAAATTAACAACAACAAAAGAGAAAAAGTGACGCGAAAGAAAAAAATCAATTGCCCCTGGGCAATGTAAAAACAAAAAAAAAAGAAAAGAAAAACAAAAAAATAAAGAAGGAAAGAAAAAGAATTGCCCACTTTCAGGCATCGCGTTTGATTTAGTTGCCGAAAATTTGTGTAACGCGACGGCGAATGGAAAAACTGCTGTTGAAATTGTGCCAGGCGATTACACTATTTTTTACTTTCAGCCTTGTTATGCACTTGGGGTGTGCTGGTGCAAAAATCGAATTTCAATTCATTGCGAAACGCTCGCCTAATTTTGAGCTGCAATTCATGCCTTTAATTTGCGTTACGTAGATTAGTTTTGCCAAGGGCTCGAACTCTGAGAGAATCGTTTCAACAATGCCCAATATTTTGCAAATGTTAGTCTTCATTCTTTTCTGAAACCTATAAAAAGTTAACTTACAGCTTATTGGGGCTTGTTAGAAGGCTGTTGCCTACCTCTTAGCGTCAAATAGACTTGTGATGCTAAAGGCAAGTGAACACTAACATTGTTAAATTGTTTCGTACATCCACACAAGTTGTTTCTAGGGTTATGAAAGCAAATAAAATACTATCTGAAAAGCTGCTTCATGCACTCATTCCCAAACTCTCATTCCCAAACTGGCCAAGCAAATGTTGTAGTCTATAGTAGTTTTATAGTGCTGGTCTTTTGTCTGGTTTTTAAAATGAGAACAATTCCATTTTCCGCTTGCTGCTTGTAAGGTTTTAAATTGTGTTGCGATAGGCAGCGCCTTTTGTCGAATATTGATTGTTCCCATCTCAAGCATTAACATTCCTACTTTGATTGTATGTGTTTTCGAGAAACATTTGAATGTAATGCTCTTCATCGATTGCCGTTCGAGTCATTGATTTTCTTTTTTAGTTTTTCGCAGGATACTTTTCGCTTGCATACTTTGCGGCTGCTGTGCCAGACACATGCAAACAACAGCCAGCGACGATACACACACAAACATGACGCCGTCAGTTTTGTTGGCGGCATACACACACACACACACATGTACACATGCACACACATGTGTGTGTGTGTGTGTGTGTGTGTTTGCATCCCCACCCTAAACTTGACCCCAGGCATTTACACTTCATCAAGCGCTGATTTTGCTTGCACTCACTCGACTTGTGGGCCAAATGTCTAGGTCCTAAAATGCCAAAAACTTGGGCTTGACCAAACACACACCCACACACACACACACACATGCACATACAAAGGCATATGTACATACAAATAGGCGCCCACATACGATATCTCTTCAAAAGCCGCAGGGCAAATACGATTTAGCGTAGGTGTCCTTAAAAATCAAAGACTAATGCTAGATGACTTGCCGACGGTAGAATTTTGTGTGCGCCTGAACTTAAACATTTTTTAGACATTTCTTAAAACCTTAAGGCGTTGCTCCTTCGTTTCGTTTCCCTTCGCTTCTTGTTTTTCCTTTTTATGGCTCTTGTTGTTTAAGTTGTTTTTGCTGTTGCTGCCACCGCTGGTGCTGCTACTGCTGCTGCTTCTGTCAGGTGGCAACACGCTTTGCATAACTAAAACGTGCGCCCCGCCCCGCCCCGCCTCGTCTCTTCTCACTGCACCTTGTCAGCCGCCCGCGCACTTAGTTGGCGACCCAAAGCAACACAATTTTCGCGTTGCATACTTTTAGGCATTTCAAATTTTGCTTCGCTGCGCACACACAAGTGCTGCTGAACCTGCCCCATCTCGGTCGTACTCATCGCCGCCATCGTTCCCGTCGCGTTCGGCTCTCGTTCACGCCCGAATCGTCTCGGCTGCTGAGCCAGCCAGGCAGCCAGCCAATGGGGGCGGGTGGTAGGGCGGACGGGCAGCTAGCCAGGCAGGCAGGCAGGCAGGCAGCTCTGGGCACGGTTTTTCGGCTGACGTTTGCAACAAGACGCACCCGTAGCATCGTCTTTATTCCCTTGCCCATGTTCATCATCATCATCATCATCATCATAATCAGCATAGTTGTCGGAGTCGCTGGCGTTGTCGCTATCGCTATCGCCGTCGAGGTCGCTGTTTTGGTTTCTCGCTTTGTCGCTGCCCTGTCGTGTATTCTTTGGAGATTCATTCTAGTGCACATTATGATTGTTTGGCATATTTTAATGATGCCATTGGGCTTAATGAAATTATTGTTAGTCCAAGCGAACAGACTCCAACCTCCCCACCCCCTTCGTCATCGCACTATGACTTTTGTTTTCGTTATATAGCTGGCCACTTAAATATGCACATAAGGTCCAAAGTCACCTCCAACCACTCCCATCTCATCATCTCGTATTCGTTTTACATGCATGAGCATCCTTAATGCCCAACACTCGTCCAAGCGGCCACTCCCATTTGATTCCCCCCTCCCCGGCCCTGCCGCCCACGAACTTCTTTTTTCCAAATTGTTTTTCTCCGGTGCCGTGAAATTTTACAACCGTGTGCTTGGTTTTTATGGTGGCAAGCAACTTGCGTCATGGGCATAATATCTTGCAAATATCGAAAGCAGGTGCCAGTCAGCGCGGCGGCAAGTTTACAGTTACTTAAAGCCCAGTCAGCTACCTCAGTCAGGCAACATTTGAGACAGCTGTTCTGGCCGTAGCTGGCTCTTGACGTCACTTCATCCATACCTTGAGCTCACAAATTGATGTTTAACTATTTATGCTAGATGTATCTTAAGGATAGTTGGCAATAATGGAAGGTCGTTCAAAGCCTTATTATCGCATGAAAAGTAAAGTGCTTCGCTAAACAGCAAAGTAGGCAGTTTGTGCATGTCCTGATGAATGCCAAAAGATATTGACTGCAATCAATGATTTGATAAAATAATATATAACATTTTTCTGTATATTTCCTATAAATACACACAATAAGGTAAAAGATATTTCAGATTTTTGAGCAATTCGACATAATGCCAAAATAATCCTAATGTACACATGACAATGAAAAATCGGCTTTTAGCTTCAAATGTAATGTGGCAACATAATAATGATATTCATGATTTGCCGATCATTAATTTTGTTGTAGTAAATAATCCTTATGATTGTGTTGCGATTGAAGTATACAGTATGTATGAACCGACTCAACCTCTTTAATCTTATTTTAACTGTATTTAAACAGCTAGCAGCTGTACTTTAAAATCCAAACTTATGTTTACGTTTTCTTTTAATTTAAAAAAAAGAAGAGATGGTTTGGTTTGAAATTATTTAGTTTCAATTTGTTTTGATCTTTATACTTTTCTACAGTTGCAAAGACAAAACCAGACCAAAGACCAACAAGATTTTTCGTTTAATAAAATGACGATAAAAAATGTGCCCCTCATTAGAAGAAGTAGAAACGATTTAAAACATAACATCTTGTTTTAAATTGTTTCTACCTTACTTCTAGTAATATTGAAAGTTTGTCAGCTATACTTGTAGGCCGTTTATAGTAAAAAGATCGTATATTTGATTGATGGTTTTTCGTATAATAAGTCAATGCATGTGTTTTCATATTTCATACAGATACCAATACAAAGTTCCTTCTAATGCTAAGTTAGAGCAATTAATAATTTAGGTCCATTTAGGTTCGGATTGACTTCAAAACATAGCCATACAGAATTTGTTAAATGTTTCCTACAACTAATACTTCAGATAAGCAGCAAGTGCAACTAAACTTCTAGCAAACATTAAATTAAATCGAAAGGTTTCAAGGTTTTTATCTTTAATGTTTGCTTACACATTTTAGATATTGAATGGTCAACAGACCTTATTCTCAATAACATTTATGTTTAAATGCGCTAAAAAAAGTGACCAAGCTTTAAAAATGTGCCGGATAAGCTGACATTATTCTTCAGAATTGCTGTAAAGATTGTTCTACTTTAGTAGTGTTTCCTGCACTCTGTAAACAATCTTTTAGAGCACATAAATCCTCACTATTCAAATTATTATCTAAGTGCACTCTTTACGAGTAAATTTTCCTCATTCATATTTCATTTTTCTGAGCCGGCATTCTATCAACTTTACACACTTTAAAGCGAGCTCCCGTTTCGGCTTTTATGCCACTCTGATTGAGTTACCGCATGAAAGAAGCTGCCGACACCGGGAGCCGCCAGAGACCGAGCAACCCACCACCAGGCCAGCAACCAATATTCATGCTCCAATTGCAGTCCGAAAACAATGGCGGCAGTGTGTGTTTATTTTTAGCAAACGCCAGCAAAACCCCATGGGAGAGGGCAACCGAACTCAGTGGAGCTTCCCGACTGCAGTTTGCAGCAATGCGTTGTGGTCTCCAACCAGCACCAGCACCAGCAGTGGCAGTTGATTTGCCTGCTAGCTGCTCGGATGACAGGAGGGCAGGGTGGCAGGGTGGCAGGGGACAGGATGGCTTGTTGTTCTTGTTTGCTAGCATCAGCAAAAAGGAAAGAAAGGAAACTATAAGGAGACGTTTGCCTGCTAAATTATATAGCGCTTAGTTGGCATAATGCAACAAAAAGCTAAGTGGGTGTACGAGCAACGACAACAACGTCTTGATTTCAAGTGTATCGAAGGTGGGGGATGGGGGGATGGGGCGATGTGGTTGACAACAGCATCCACTCGTTAATCATGCGAATTATGCATGCAAGTGGAATACTTAATTTCAATGGTCTAAACAACAACGTGAGGCTGCTATACTTGTAGTATTTCGATGACCTACCAATACACTTGAAGAAAAGGAAGGGCAGGCACAGTTTTCTATTTACACTTGAGTGCACAGCAAGAAATTTAGTTGATCTAGGCGAGCTGGATGAGAGGGCGCTCTGAAGACAAGTGTGGATGGGATGGGATGGGATGGTTGAGGAGGCAAGTAGCGAGGGTTGTTTGTTGTTGCATACTTCTTGGGGCATCGCATCAGTGAGCGAATTTCCTTTCGCTCTCATCAATTGCTGTGCACTCTCTCTTTCTCTGCTTTGCATGTTTTCTTTTTCGTGCTCCCGCTCTCGTCTCTGCCTCTCTCTTTCTCGCCTTGTCTGTTCCGCCATCGTCTTTGTCGCCGCTTTTCACGCCTTTGTCAATTTGCAGCAACTTGTGCGCTCGTTTGACTTGGGTTAAATTGTTTGTGATTGTCGCAGCGCTTCTGTATGCGTTTATACTGGTATTTCTTTCTGTGTCTCTGTCTCTGTGTGTGTGTGTGTGTGTGTGTGTGTGTGTGTCTGTGTGGGTATTGGTGTCTCTGTCAGAGCTGTCAGCTGTTACGCTTGCAGCTGCATGACTTTCCGCCCACTGCCCTTTGCCGTTATTACACAATAACTGTTTTTTTTCTTTTAGGTGTGGTTTTCTGCTGCTGCTTCTGCTTCTGCTTTAACGTCTTCATGACGCCCCCAGAAACCACGCCCACGCACATGTGGCTCATGTGCACTGTGCGTTTCAATTATGACATTACCATAACCATTAAATGCCCCCCACCTCGTTTTTAATCAATCATTACAACTGCAGGAAGGGCTTGCGGCATTTTGTTGCTTGGCTTTGAAACTTTCCATTGTATAGTCTAAGGCGGCCTATTTTATTCCTCCTCTTGCTGCCTTGGCCTGACTTATACCCGTATATTTATTGTTGCTGTGCCATGTGCCCTCAGAGACACATTGGCGCCGTCTATGCCTAACACCGCCAGCCATTGTCTCGTAATGTGTCAAACTTTTACCCACTCTCTGATTGTTTTCTTCTTCATGATGATGTTGACATTGTCGGCTTAGCCCGCCGGACATGTTTTACAGTGAAAATTCTTAATATATACTTATTGTACACTTATTTATATGCAACAAATATTTACTGAAGCCTATGGTACTTGGGAGTGCTTAAAAACTTTTCTTATCGATTTAGTCATTCTTACATGGTTTGATCCCAACATTCAGTGGTGTTTGATTCCTTTGTGTTTTGGTTTTTTGACGGCTTAGTCCGCCAGACATGAAAATTCTTAATATAAAATTATTTTTTAAATATAGAATCGTGTTCTTATTTATATGCAAAAAATATTTACTTGAAGCCTCTGGATTTGGAAGAATGTTCTTGAAAACTTTCGATGTTATACGAGAACCGGACAAATATTCTAAAGCATCCTTTCATGGTGATCCAGTGTTTTTAGATTTCTTTCATCGATAATAATCGTATTCTTTAAATCTGAAAAGCTAAAAAGTAATATTGGAGATTATTTGAATTGAAGAATAACCGGAAAATGTCTTTATAATAAATTGTATTTATAAAGAGGTGCGTTGTCAAGACTTTCCACTGTGTATGCAAATTTGCGGCAATTAAACGAAACGAAACGAAACAGCCAGCAGCAATTGTGCCTAGAAACTTCAAAGTAAACCAATTCAAAAAACCAAAGCAGTAGCAACTACAACAACAACAAAAAACAACGACAACAGCAACTGAAGTTTAAACAAAACTTGAAGATGGCCTGGGGCTACTGGTCGGCCACAACTGTAGATCGCGGCCGTTCGCCACGACGTCTAACGCAGTGCACGCCATTGCCGGTGCAATTAGTGCAGCAGCAGGATGAGGAGGAGGAGCAGCAACAGCAGCAGCAGCAGCAATCACAACCGCAGCAGCAACAACAACAAACGCAAACGCAGCAGCAGCAGCAGCAGCAAGGAGACGGCAGTGGCGGCGGAGGGGAAACTCTCTGCTACAGTCCCAGTTGCCGGTCGCGCTGCTCAAGTCCTTGTCCGGGCTCTCCATGCGGCTCCATAACACCGCCACCGCCACCGTTGCTCACTTCATCGCAGCAACATCTGCATCAGCATTCCAATAAGAATTGTCCAGCGGCTCAACAGCTGCTCTCACATTTGGACAGCTATGCGGCACGACGGCAATCGCTGGATCAGCTGGATAGTCCGCAGGTAGGCGGCATCAGTAACCTAGCAGAGCAACAGCAACTCAGTGAACTTTGCCTTTGCTCTCTCCCGCACCAGCAGTCCAAGTACTTCGACATTCAGGCCAATCAGCTGTCGGACATCATGTGCCGGGGTGCGGTGGTAAGCTCTATTCAGTCGGCCAATAACACCCTGACTCGGGGTGTCTCTCTGCACAGTCGCAGCGGCAGCGCTCACGGCAGCGTTCATGGAGGCAGTCATCATGGCAGCCATCACAGCCACAGCCATCATGGGAGTGCGCACGGATCTTTGGGCTGTTTGCAAAGTGGCGGCGGAGTCGGTAGCACTGGCAGCATTGGCATCCTCTCGACCGGACACATCGATACCGGCGACTATGATGTGCCACATCCTCATCCCTATACGCATCATTATATGCAGACTACGGCTTCGGTGACGCCACCGCATGCCACCTTAAGTCGTCCGGGTTCGGCAGGCGCCGTTTGCACGGGTCACGATTCCGGCTCGGATTCCAGTCAGGGCTGCGGCGGCTCCATCATGGGTGGCATGTTAGCCATGCATGGCTTGGGAGGCGCAGCTCCCGGCCATATGGGCAGCCTGGGGCACCACAGTACGGGCAGCGGTTCGCTGGGACGCTGCTCCAGTCGTTGTCACAATACGAACACGACCACAACTGATGATTCCGGCGGCGGCAGCAGCGGTGGAGGCGGCGGCATACTCATGGACTATCATCATAGTCAGGGCCGTGGCAGTGTAGGAGGTGGCGGCGTCAGCATTGGCCATCACAGCGGCAGTGCAGGCAGTGGATTGAATGGCTGTGGTGCCGGCAGCGGCAGTATTGGTGGCCGCAGCAGCGTTTTGGGCACCATACACAACGGCCATGGGCATCACCATCAGCAGTACCATCACGAGTGCATCCACTATGAGAGACTGCCCATACCAGTGCCCATACCAACGGTACCCATGACCGCTGTTCAACAGCAACAGCTGCCGGTGCAGCATCATCTACAGTCGGAGGAGGAGATCGAACCGGCATATGCGACAGGTAATTAATATTTGCGGGAGAAATCAAGTTCGGCTTTGGTTGCTTTAGGTCTCTTGTATTATTTGGAGACCCTTGGAGGCCCCTTTGATGAGTAGGCATTAACCAAATGTCTCCAATAAATGCACGGGCTATAAAAAGTGGAAGAACTCGGAAGAACCAAGCTAAACCGGGCTTAGTTATTATAGTGCATATACTTCCTGCGTGTATACAGGTACACAGACGGACGGACTCGTCAACTAACTAACCTAGTATACCATTTTACCATTTAGGTATTATTAATTCATTTAATTATTTTATTAATTTATTTTCAAATTTAAGTTACGATATACTTGTGTAAATGAATTACATATATATTTTCTTAAATCACAGGAGAAATAATACAACAAATTACAAAAATCATAATGTTAAGGATCGTATATAATATTTTGATTAGAGTATTGCAGCAGTATCTACTCGGACTAAATAACGAATCAATCAGTTACAGCTTTATACTCGTTTGTTGTTGTTGTTTGGTTTTCGTTGAGTTGTTCATTCTCCTCCTCTGACATTCAGATTTCTTTTGTTTATCAAATACACGTATGAGTATATCTCTATGGCTAGTTTCTATATACCGTTTTAACATTTGAATTTGCACACATAATCACATTTGTTTCTGGTTTATCGAGCTAATATTGGAGCACTCGTAGGTGATCTCATAGCGCATAACACGGGCTTGGTTTTCTATACCCTGTACCCGTAGGGTAAAAAGGGTATATTAGGTTTGTGCAAAGTATTTAACATGCAGAAGGAAGCATCTCCGACCCCATCAAGTACATATATTCTGAATCAGCATGACAAGAGAAATCGATGTAGACGTGTCCGTCCGTCCGTCTGTCCGTCTGGATGAACGCAAGGATCTCAGAAACTATAAAAGCTAGAATAACCAAAGTTGGCATCCAGATTCTCCTAGATCCGACAAAGGACGAGTTTATTTTATTTTTTTGGAATTTCCCCCCCTCCCCGCTACAGAATTTCGTCAATACTGCCCATATTTCCAAATATACATTAACCAAACTTTGCACACATAATTTTATATTAATCTATACGTGTGTTTCAAATTTCATCTAAATCGGTTAATTCTAAGAAAAGTTATTAGCGAAAACATTTAACTCCGGTACTACGCCCACAAGCTGCAGCATCGAGTTCGCTCATCTTCTTCTTTAGCTTCTACTAGAGGCGCATATACCTCAGTGTCGGAAGTTTATCTGGGTACGGGGTATTACACTGTCGGGCTCGCTCGACTGTAGCGTTCTCTCTTGCTTGAGGCATTGCAGAATTTCTTTCCTAATGTCGGAGCACGAACTGGTTCGTTTTATACATCCCCCGAATGTATAGAATGTATGGACTTGGACTGTTTGTTTGTCGGTGCTACTATCTTATCGGTTTGCTTCGTTTTGCCATTCGTCGCGCTCTCACTAACTTGCTCTTAATTAGCCGATAGAGATGGAGACGAAGGCAGCGACGGCGACGGCGACGGCGACAATGACAACGCTATCGACAAAGACCGCGATGTCATTCAGTTCTAGTGACATTTCAATTGCCACTTGAATCTGTTGATTCTTTTGCCTTCTCGTTCGCTCTGTGCTTAGACCATTGTTGGCGGTGCTACGCCAAAGACGCGTTCAGTACGTCGTTAGACCTCTCACTGGGAGGCAGCCAGTCAAGAGCCTTCCGCGCGTGCCATTTCCCACCGTTGACTGATTCGTAGACATTGATTATCTAAAATAAAAAAATCGAAATTGCGTCTGACCTGCGTTGAACTCGCCACACAATGATCATCTGGAGCGGTTTCTGCGAGGCGGCGCAAATCTATAGCACTCAGACGGCCACTTTCATGAGTGGAGGCACTTCGTGTTAGTATTGGCGATGGCTCTGAACGAATCAAATAAACTGTGCTTGAATCAATCAATATCAGTACTATTATGTTATGTGATTTTCCAATACATGAGCTGTGATAACAATATCAATAATGTGCATATAGTACAATTAAGTGATTACGAACAAATAAGTGATTAATCAATTGTTCATTTTACGATTCTCTAACTTACTTACTTTGGAATCGTTTCGGGAAAATGTTCGAACTACATTAAATTGCCTTGAAAATCGTAGTTCTTCACAAAAATCTAGTTAACAATCGAAAGGCATTTGAGTGTGCTGAGTTTTTTGTTATAAATTGAAGATTTACTCATCATTATCAGAGAGTCAAAACATTGTTAAGCACCGAAAAATGTTAGAACAATGATTTGTTTTTTAAACTTTTTCTGAAACTTGTAGCCCCAATGTACCTAAAAATTTAGGAACTATTGCAAAAGGAAGTTCTTACTGGTTACATATAGAAATTGGAAAATTATAGCTGATTGAGAACGAAATCGTAACACTAGTAGCCAAGCGCTTCGTTCCCCTTTGATAGATTCACATTCAAAGAAAAAAGTCCATCCCTTTTTTGAGATAACAATAATGGTCTTCTCACCAGCAGAGTGTAAAGCGGCAGTCTCATATCTTCAGATTACCATATCAAATGGCGGTACGATATGTTACTTCCAATGCCACTGGCACACATGCACAGTTTTATGCGTGACCGCGAACTGCATAATCGCCGAGTTTTATGGCACTGCATTGTAAATATGTTTCTGTATTTCCCAATATTTTCAGGCAAAGTCTATAAATTTGCAGTGTTATCTTTTTGCCAACAGCATTTAGTGTTAGGTATACAATAATACTTACCTGGCTTCTTTTCTGTGTGCTTGCTATTGTACAACAGAAAACCAAACAAATTTTGTCACTCTTATCACACACTGTGCTGATTAGATATGAATATACACTTGTATATAGGTGTATACTTGTATATTCGTATGTGTGCACTTATTCATATACTCTAGGTCAAAATCGGCAACATTATTGCTTAGGCGACAAGTCGAATTGATCTTACAAACAAAACGTGAACCCTTGAATGACCAATTGACGAATATGCCGACGAATTTTGATATCTCCGTCAACAATTGGAGTCAATTGTGTCAGAGATCCACACAAGCCGCCAGTCAGTCAGTTAGTCAGTTAGACAGTGAACAGCGCCCATCGTTTTCAATTACTAATGGCAGGCAGTCGTCTCTTCTGCTATGCGGAAAACTTAATTAATAATGTACCCTGTTCTTGGAAACATTGCCTCGCTCTTTTTTCCAAGAGAGCGGGCCACAATGCTCTATTTTCGTATTACAATGAAGGCATTGTAAATCGTATAGAAGCCCAAAAACGAAAGTGCGTTTAAGGTTAAGGCCAGCCAAAATCGTCATATTTCATAAGTTGGAATGAAAGCTAAGAACCAAAGATAAATACTCGCACATCGCTTCAAATTATTAATTTAAATTTAAAAAAACTTTCAACAAATGTATTTTTTATTTCGCGGAATTGGCCTGCAGATTTGGCCATAACACGGCAGTTTGATATTTATTTAGATATAAGACCACTCTTACTAGAGCATGATAACTATCCATAGTAGAGTACCTCGATGTTTTCGATAATTTTGTATGAATCCATCGATACTATCGATAGTTCCATCGAAGTTTGAATGCAATAAAAAGAATTAAAGAAAAACATAATTTATTTAATGTCACGATCCTGTACAATGCTGATTGAGAAGATATATTTTTGTACATGTTAGTGGGTTGAACAAGCGTATATTGTTGTAAAGGCGTTTTTCCCTTAAAATGTTTCCACAATGTTTCTCCCTTTGCTGTGGCGCTTTCAATTTTGGGTTCAGAGACCATTGTTTCTTAAAAAAGAAGGAAAACACACATTTTTATTAACACAAGACTTACTTGTTGAAACATGTTAACTTTCTCTTTTGAGAAATTTGTCCACTTTTTTCCTACTCCAGCCACAGCCAACACCACCAATCGACTTTCAGAAATATTATATTTATATTAATTAAATAAATATGAATAAATTAAAATTGCACTTGCCAATTTTCTGTATTCCTCTTAACGTGCACTTCTACGAACGAACTATCGAAAAATTTAAAACTATCGATAGTATCGATAGTGCCATCGATATTTCTCATGCTCTAACTCCTACGGAAACTTAAAAAAAAACTACAAGCAACTTTTAAAACATGCTTCCGGCGTGATTCGAACCGAGCCATATATTCAGGAACGAACTCACATTGTGGGACTGTTTGTCCACATATAGTAAGCTGAATAATGTAATTCTAAATTTATTTGAAAAGGTATGCTAGATGTTGAGCTTTATTCGAGTAGTGTACGTTTAAAAAAAAAAAGTTTGCTACAAAATGTGTGAATGTTTTAATGCAAAAAATGTTTTTCCAATAAAGGCTAATGTTTTTAGAATTAAATATTTACAAGAAACGTATACACGTATAGAATCAAAGGAGTATATATTTAATTTAAGGAATTTATGTGCAGCTGCTCTAGTACTATAGTCTCAGACTTGTGTGGGTCTTAGGTGGGTTCAAAAGGTGTAATTATTAATATAACATTTCGAAATATCCTTAAACGCTTTTTAGAATTATAAACTGCAATGAGGGTATTTAAGTATCGGCTTCCGAATGCTTGTGTCTATCTGTTGCGCGCTCTTGCTGGCCATGGTGCGTGGCATTGATGACTCCTGATAAAGTGAGGCGCGCTCTGGGTGTGCGTCAGTCGCAGAGTTGGTGCCGTCATGTGTTAACGTTTGTCCAATGTGGCTGGGAAAAAATCCATTTATAAGTAAAAACTTATGGCTTGTTGCTATCTGATAAGACTTAGAATGCAAGCAAATACTAAACAGCTGTCCTATTTGTAATTATCTTGATATATAGTAGTACTATATAATTGAATGTCTTCTATCCTTACATTGCAGTATTCCCCAATGTTCCTCAAGCGCCTGGTTTGTCCTGCGATGGCGAAGATCGTGAGTACACACATACATTATATACTTGTATGTATTTTTGAAAGTCTTCATTCAATGTGGTTATCTATTGCAGGCAGCATCTATAGACGTGGCGCGCGCCGTTGGCGAAAATTGTATCGCGTCAATGGTCACATTTTCCAGGCCAAGCGCTTCAATCGTGTAAGTTAATGACAATGAAGATATATACAAGTAGTTGTTCTGAACTAATGAAGCTTTCTTCTCGTGACAGCGCGCCTTCTGTGCCTATTGCCAGGATCGCATCTGGGGACTGGGTCGTCAGGGTTTCAAGTGCATACAATGCAAGCTGTTGGTACACAAAAAGTGTCACAAGTTGGTGCAAAAGCACTGCACCGATCAGCCGGAGCCGCTGATCAAGGATCGCGCTGAGGAGACCAGTGATCCGATGCCCGTTCCTTTACCGCCGCTGCCTTACGAAACGGTTGGCAGCAGCAGCGTCGGTGGCGATGCTTGTGAAACGCACGAGCACACGCACATTGTGGCGCCACCGCCGCCCGAGGACCCCCTAGAGCCGGGCACACAGCGTCAGTATTCGCTCAGTGACTTCGAGCTGATACGCGTCATCGGACGCGGCAGCTACGCCAAAGTGCTGATGGTCGAGTTGCGGCGGACACGTCGCATCTATGCCATGAAGGTGATCAAAAAGGCGTTGGTCACAGACGACGAGGACATTGACTGGGTGCAGACGGAGAAGCATGTGTTTGAGACGGCGTCGAATCATCCGTTTTTGGTCGGCTTGCACTCCTGCTTCCAGACCCCTTCACGTCTCTTCTTTGTTATTGAGTTTGTGCGCGGTGGCGACTTGATGTACCACATGCAACGACAGCGGCGACTGCCTGAGGAGCATGCCCGCTTCTATGCTGCGGAGATAAGCTTGGCGCTGAACTTCTTGCACGAGAAGGGCATTATTTATCGGGACTTGAAGCTCGACAACGTGCTGCTGGACCACGAGGGTCATATCAAGTTAACCGATTATGGTATGTGCAAGGAAGGCATTAGACCGGGCGATACTACGTCCACGTTTTGTGGCACGCCCAATTATATTGCGCCCGAGATATTGCGCGGCGAGGATTATGGATTCTCAGTCGACTGGTGGGCGCTGGGGGTGTTGCTCTATGAAATGCTGGCTGGACGCAGTCCATTTGACATAGCCGGCGCATCTGAAAACCCGGATCAGGTTGGTTGCCATTTGAGTTTAGCATCAGTTTGCACTCTCAATTGATTTGATTTCCATCTTTTGTCTCAGAATACCGAGGACTATCTGTTCCAAGTGATTCTGGAGAAAACTATACGTATACCGCGCTCTTTGAGTGTGAAGGCCGCCTCAGTGCTCAAAGGTTTCCTCAACAAGAATCCGGCAGATCGTTTGGGCTGCCATCGTGAATCTGCCTTCATGGATATTGTCAATCATCCATTCTTCAAAGTCATCGACTGGGAAATGGTAAGTGTGCTCCCAACTGTTGAACTACATGTCCCTGTGCTGTTGATGATGATAGGTAAAAATTAATCTGGTAATGCTTCACCCATATGCCTAGCGCTAACAGAACAGCTGTTAAAAACGTGTAGTAATGCTTAGTATCTATATGTAATCTTAGGGAAGAGGTAATTCGGACTTGAGGTATATCGATAACAGACTCATGTATAGTATAATTATTGTGTTAAAATTCGATATAACTATTTATTGAATAGAGTTTTCCTAGCTTTGTTATGCAGACTGGATCTGTTCGACGCCAGAACAGAATCTTAAACAGAAGTTTAGTTCCAAATTTAAGAATCTTCGCTCTTATGGATGAAGTGAGCTACGAGTATGATGCTCGTATCTGTGGGAAATCGTGTTGAAATATAAATTTATAGTTGCCATTAAAATCTTATTTTATTAAAAGAAACGTATATGTTTTGCTGTACATATCTACCTACCTATGTAAATGCGTGTGTTTATATGAAAAGATTGCACAGAAGGAGGTACAACCGCCTTATATTCCAACCCTTGATCCTGGCGATCCATATATGACTACAAACTTTGACGTTCAATTTACCAGAGAACCGGCTGAATTGACGCCAGATGATCCGTAAGTTTGAGCAAAAAACAAAAAACAAAAAAAAACAACAACAACAAAAGAGCCTAGCTACAAAAATATATATTTTGTTAAATAAGCTCCAAGCATGAAACCCAATAAGTAAACCTCTCCAAAAATTAAATCTAGAGCAGAACGGGCCAACTGGCTAACAGGTAATGTTCGCACTCTTGACGATCCATGCTTCCCCCTCCCGTTCGCCATGCTTTTGCCCCTCTCTCCACAACTCTCGTACAACTCCAACTTATCATCATCAATGGACACGCTCATAGAAAATAAAAACACACAAACCCATGCATATTTCACTTGTGTGTTTAGCTTTTAACAATAAATTTGTTTATCATTTGTGAATTGGCGTAGAATATTCTCTATAACGTTCTTTCTTTTCAATATCTTTGCATAAATGATCATCAATGCATCATACATCAAACACTCATCCATAACCATGCAGCTCGAACGCAAACAGGTTTCGCCACCATTTAAGCCACGCTTAGACTCAGATCGCGATTTGGCAAACTTCCCGCCCGAGTTTACAGGCGAGGCAGTGCAGCTAACGCCGGACGATGAGTAAGTCTCAACATTGTCCTTTTGTATCTACAATTTAGTGAGTTGCGAGCTATTAAATGTATTTTAACTTTTCTCTTACCATAGCCATGTCATTGATAGCATCGATCAATCGGAGTTCGAAGGCTTTGAGTATGTGAACCCATTGCTGATGTCTTTGGAGGATTGCGTCTGACATCACGAGACGTGTGATCTGCATCCGTATAATATGCGTGTAAGTACTTAGTAGATTAAGACTTTTTTTGCGCGACATATTGACGTTTTCGGTAAAGGGTATTTGTTTACAAATTAGACAAGAAGTTCGTCCCTAAGAAAGTTACATACTCGAACATACAAGTATATTAGTATTTAAAGCATATTTGGAAAACTTCTGATGCCCACAGTACAGATTGCAGGAAAAATGAAATAGCATTTGGTAGTTTGCTTGCTACAAGCAATATTATGCCAATACTGTTTTGTTTCTGACCTTAAATAACACTATACGGGGCCTGGCATAGCTCACACGAGCTAGCAGGGGAATCCCATTGCGAGTTTGTTCCTGAGTGTAGACACTCACTCGTTCCGAATCACGCCGCATGTAATGAAGACATAATACTGAAATATCAAAGTTAAATAAAATGCTAATATCTTTTCTAGTAACAGACGTAGTAGGCCAAATAATTATTCATACTGAACGGTGCCAAGTAACCTAAAGTAAATAAGAAAGATAAATTAATAACACTATGACTTTAAGCTCTTATCCTTGCTGTTAAATAATGTACACAACCGATTTTCGCAGTTCTCCACGGACTGCTTTGTTTTTGTCATCAGGAAAAAGGTGTCAACTCCGGACTAAATAAGGCCCTAACTTTTGGCCAACTCCAGTGGCTTCTTGGCAATCGCTAGCTTCATGTGGCATTATTGAAAACAGTAAAGTTCCGTATTTCGTGATTGACTGCCCATGGTAGATAAGTCCCTTCCTGTCGCATCAAATGCACAGACAAAATTATAGTCGTGGCTTGGATAAGAACATTTTCTTAACATATACATACTGCTTTTTTTGTCACTAGCATGCATGATTAACAAAATGTATTAAATGAATCGGCATATCACGAATTGCCGGATTATTTTTATTTTCCCTTGTGGAACAGTGGAAATATAAATCACAAATTTAAATACAAGTCGAAATGATTAGGTGTTTTAACTTAAATTGCAGCTTTATGGTGAGGACTCCAGTGATTATGATTCTGTGGCCGATGATTTGAGCATCTTGCATTTGAATAGCGCGAGTGCCGCTCCCAATACCAATAATAATCTAAGCCAGCAGCTATATCGCCAGCAGCAGCAACAGCCGCAGCAGCAATTTCATTCGCATCAGCATCAACAGCAACAACTGCAGTCAGCAGCAGCAGCAGCTATGGCTTATCCACAGCAGCAGCAACAACAATTACAACAACTGCAGCATCCGCAGCAGCAGCAGCAGCAACAACAGCAATATCATCATAATGGTAACAATAATAATCATAACAATCAAATGCAAGCAAATAATAATAAAAGTCTACTACAGCACATGTTTTGCCTTCCATTGAACTAATTAAAATAACGAATTAAGAAATTGAACAACCACAGCAACAAGAGCAACAAGCAACAAACAACAAACAGCACAGCAACAAACAGAAATAGAATGCAAGCAAGAAGAAAATAAATGATATTTATCGAAAAAACAAAAAATTGGTCACACCAAATAAAATTTAAAGAACATCCAAGAAAAAGTCACAAGTTGCAAGTATTACACTATACTACAAAACAAACAAAAACAACTAATTACTTTACTACTTAAGCAGCACCTAGGCAGCCAGGCAAACTCTATGCAAGAAGATTGCAAATTTCAAGACTTTCAACAAGACAAGCAAATGTACGTTAAAAGACAAACTTAAAGTATGCAACAAAAACAATTTTAAGCTAAACACAAAAAACTCTAATAATACTATATACTATACATAAATAGCGTATATAATTTTTAAATATTTAATGCAACACGTTTGATTTTACCCCAAAAAGAGAAAGAGAAAGAAAGGAGAAGAAATCGAGAATGCAAATCGATAAATAAATAAATTTATAAGCGCATTAATTGTAATGTAAAATGTGTGTGTGTTAGTCTTAGTGAAGAGCATGGTTTTTAAATCGAAGTAAAATTGATAAATGTGTGAAACTTCATAAAAGTAAAGTAAAGTAAAGGAACGTAATCATTTTTAATGCAATATGCAATACACATGTAACGCGATATAAAACTAAAGTTAAAACACATACATTTCTTTAAACAATACTAAGTACGTATATACAACATTTTACAATTAAAAGCACGAACAAAAACAAAAACACAATCCCCACATATTTATAAATGTCATCATTATCTATCTTTTCCTGTAAATCATATTTATACAAACAAACAAAAAACACAAAAAAAGTGCAAATCCGTCTTCAGGCAATATTTTTTGTTAAGTATTAAAAACTCCGTATGTTTTAAACACATTCCACTGTACTTACTAAATACATTTTGTTAAATTATTGAGGCACGTAAAAAGCTAAATTATACATCTATATATACATATAAATATATTAAAATTAAACGCGGTAGCTAAATTTACACAACCTAAGCGAATGCAAATTTTTATATATTGTAAAAGTTGTCAATGATGTCCAGCATTAAGTACTATATATCACATTATTTTTATCAATTTACCAGCAGACAGCAATTGAAAGGAAGAAGGGACATCATTGTTAATTTTTATGGTTTTGTTTTGTTTCGTTTTTTTTTTTGTTTACAAAACAACAGTTCGGTCGAGTGCGTTTTTAAATTAAAATAAATAATTATACATACAATTAATTATAATACATTTTGTATATTATGTTTTTATAAAGTATAAGCAATATATAAGTACACATACAACTACACAAAGTTAAATCGAGATAAATATTGTATTGTGTTGAATTAGCCAAACGAAACGAAACGTCAACAAATTGTGTTGTTTTCCCTTTTAAATTATTATATACAAACGTAAATCGAAAAATTGAAATTGTTAACTGTTAATGTATTTTATATACTTGTAAACAACAAAATCACACGCTAATTGTTGATTTATACGACAACAAGAGCAACACAATTATGCAAAAGAAACTTATTGAACGAACACGCATTAAAGAACAACAACAACAACAACAAAAAAAAGCAAGAAGAAATAATAGCAAACAATCATCAATCATCATATAGATAAATACACTTATAGTTCATAAATCATTAATAACAAATAAAAACGAATACTTACTATAAATGAAATGTGCACATTATTAGAACGACACAAATCAATAGGAACTGCAAACATTTCTCTATATATTTTACAAAATTTCAATTTGCATTTCAACTTTCAAGTTCGCGACAAGTCTTTGTAAGATATCTGAACGGCTTTCGCAAGCAAATACATAATTATGTTAAGAACGCAGCCATCGGAAAAATGACTGCAAAGCCCTTCAGCAGCAGAGTTACGATACGCAAAGGGTACAACGAACCGACAGCTACTGCTATTTATTTTATTTTATTTAAAAAAACTAATGCTCTATAAACTATAACTTTGTGTTAATTTTTAATGTTTATACCAATTATTATCCATAAACTTGTTTGGTTACATTTACTTCTCATTCACACACTGAACTGCACATTTTATACATACTTGTATACTTGAAATTAGAAGAGACAGCGTATGCAGGTTACGTTCAATATGAGAGTATATACACAAATACAAATAAATAAAATATACATAAGTTAAAAAATACTTAAATTGTTATTGCGACCAATCTCTGATTTATTTGCCTACTTTGTTTGTTGGCCGACCAGAAATTTATCATTTTACCGGTAAAGGAAAGTAGATCTCTAGGCCTCTCTCCTGTTTGGTGGCCAAAACGTATGTCATTCATAATTAACTTTATCCTTTCCCTTAGACTAAAATGGCACTTAATCGTGATTTATTTTATTGGACTTGGAGGTGAGTAGTCGGAAATGTAAATGACGTAGTTTTCATTTTTTGATAATGTTTATCTTTTTTATACCTACTACCTAGGTAAGCAGTACAACAAACCTGGTACGACACCTCTAAATACTTTTTCCCGCGCACGTCGGCCTGGCAATAAAAAATTATCAGCTGGCTGACCAAATACTACAAGTATATCTAACGTTCATTCAGTAAATTTCTTTGGTGCGAAACCGCTTATTATACGTTTTTTTACAAACAAATGAAATCAAGTAGCTTGGATTGGCATTTAACAAGTTCTTCGCGAGCCTTGGTTTCTGGTTCGGCACCTTTAAACACTTTATTTTTATCTTTTCCACTGAAAATTACCAGTTGGATGAATACACGAATACATATAAAAACATTTATTCAACCAATTTCTTTTATTAGGTCACATATACTCGTATATTGGTGCGAAACCGATTTCTATACATTTTTGGTTTGCAAATTAATAAAATCAACCACTTAAGGATTTCTCCACGGTCCTTGACTCCCTAGTGCACGCCACTAGGTGCAGCAGCCGCGTCATCATTGCTGGGACTTTAACGCCTGGTCGGCAGAGTGATATACATTTGGCAGAGTTGGTGTTTCGTGCCCTGAAGTTCTTGCTTGGTGTTATACCTCGCCGCGCCTCAACATGCTTGCCAGTGGGGCAGGTGGAAATTGATAAGATTACCATATGTCTTGGTGCGCAACCAGAAACTATAATGATTCTAGCTGGAATCTCGCTGGAAGATAGGCTGAGAAGTGTAATGTGGACCAGATATGACGTGGTATTTATCCTTGTCGTCCTTAATGCAAATGCAAACCATTAAGTAAAGCTGCAAACACTATGAATCTGTTCAATTCCATATATGGGTTTCGTTTCAGCTTTCTCACCTCGTTTGACGTGCAGGTCGATCTATCGATAGTGTTCGCCACTCGGTCTTGGATATCATCTATTCCCATTAGCTTGAAATACTGCTTCACCTTCTTCTCCAAAGCTTCGTGAGATTGTCTTCTATCAGAAACGGCACAAAATCTTGGTAGTTGGAACTGGCAGCTGTCATCAGCTGTATTTCGTTCCATCTGTTCAATAGTGCTCCTAATTTTCCCGTTTCTATCGTACAGCTGCTTGTCGCTGAACACTGGTAGCTGATCCCTTAACGTAAGCGCGCCACACAGCTCATAATAACAATAGTAATGTTCACTAATGCTGAGAGTGTTCATGGGTATAAACTTAACGATTGGATATTCCCGACTAAAGTATCGCTTAGATGGATAATATATCTTTGTAAGACGACAGCAGTTATCTGAAATATATGTATTGCTTGTTGCAGGAATTTCGTTTTCTGCATTGCCATTGCCCATTGCCATAAAGTTCGGCGACAAATCCCGATTGAGGTTATCAAGCGAATATTCAATTACGCCTAAAGAATTGGGCATTGTACCAGCTCTTGTGTATTTGTATTAGTTACAACCAATAAATTAAAAAAAAAAAAACTAGAAACAAGAAAGTGTGCTCGCGAACGCAATTCATTGCGTACTACAAGCTCTTTGCGATCTGCTACTGCTTTTATGCACATGAGTGTGCGTTGTTGGTTGCGCACCAAGCTGAAGCGAACACAAACTCTAGAGAGCCTGAATGACCATTCGCAAAAACAAGAGCGCACCAAGCTAAAAGGAAGAAACAATATTCGAAAGCATTAAATCATGTTAATAATAAATAAATTGCAGACTACGCCAAAGATGTATACGTATTTGAGTAGCCCTTAATTTGTATACCCTGTATGTAGGCGTATATAAGGTTTGTGCAAAGTATGTAACATGCAGAAGGAAGCATCTCCGACCCCATAAAGTATATATATTCTGAATCAGCATGACGAGAAAAATCGATCTAGACATGTCCGTCCGTCCGTCCGTCTGTCCGTCCGTCTGGATGAACGCAAGGATCTCAGAAACTATAAAAGCTGGAACAACCAAACTTGGTATCCAGATTCTCCTAGGTCCGAGAAAGGACCCATTTTTTTTTTCGACTGTAGCGTTCTCTATTGTCTTAGTTCTTCAGCTGACCATTTTCAGGCACAAACTCGTACTATACATATGTATGTGCGTATGCAGCTAAGCTACATATATGGGTTTGGTTCCGCACCTAGCATAACACATACATATGTACACATGTATCGGCTTTTAATCTATGGTAGCACAAGCACACAGTCGAATATTAATGTCTCGTTCGCTTTCTCTCGTCATGCTCATTCACAATATATATACTTTATAGGGTCGGAGATGCTTCCTTCTGCATGATACATACTTACTTTGTACAAACCTAATATACCCTTCTTACCCTACGGGTACAGGGTACAAAAGAACTCATTGTAGACAGCCAGACATTCAGGCTCCACACAAAAAGCTCATTACAAAAACAACAGCGGCCGTTGGTGCGCAACCAAAAAAAGCCAAAAGCTTCGTAATAGTGTACAATAATATGCGTACAGATATAAATGTTTAAATTTGTTGCTCTGTATTATCAATATAATGTCGAACTGTGCTTACCTCAGGGTGGGGTACCGAACTATCTGTAATAAGAGTATATGTTACAGTAAAAAGCGCTTGTTAGAAACAAACTCGATATTTCTTTAAATTAAATATCGTATTGTTCACTCCTTTTATTGAAAAAGTATTGTCCATATTATACTCTGTACCCAGAGGATAGAAAAGTAATGTAACAAAGTATATATATTCTTGATCAGGGTGTCAGGCCGAGTCGATTTGGTCAATTAAAATGAACGTTATAGCCATATAGGTTATGTATTGCATTTTTATTAACTTGATTGAATTAGTATAATTTTTTTGTTTTGATTCTATGAAAGTGAGTACTTAGGAGTATTTAGGAGTTGAGACCACGCTTGCTTTTTGTTGATGTTGTTGTCCAGTCTTTGTAGATCCTCTCGTCTAGTGCCTTCTGCGACGTCTAATTGCTTGGGGCGCAAAGTGCGGCGTGGGTGGTGAAGAACGGCTTGGAAATTATTTGGTAATTACCATTGATGTCCTTATTGCAGATGCAGAGCATCAAATGTAGCTGTAAATGGGGAATTGGTCAATACTTAAGTTTAAAAATTCATCAGGAAGCATTTATTCACCTGCGCACCTGGCTGGCTCTCGTAGCAGCTGGCAGTGTTAACAACACAATCGTAATTGTCTTCAAAGCAGATGAGCTGGCAATAGTCTGTCAGCTTTTGCTTCACAATATCCTGCGGAGTTATTCGCGGTGCTGTGTTGGATACCAAAGAGAGCTCGGGTAGGATGCACTCGTACTTGTTACCATTCGGATAAAACGGCCGCAATTTCTGTTCATCGTTCAGCCTGAAATGGCTAAAAGACGGCAGAAATTGCTCCGAGGCGAGAGTGCATAATTCATAATAGCAATATAGGCTATCAGAATCCGGCTCCTTTAAATATAACTGCACATTTAAATAGGTCTTTCCATATTTAGTGCTGTTAATAGTTAATGTCGGGAGTGGCAGATGATTTTGGCTGACGATCGAGGAAACTGTTTTATTTTCAACATTATTGCCGTTTTCACTTTGAACCGAATTTTGGAGCGTATTACAGGTCTCCATGTTTCGAATGCAACGAGCACTACAATTTTTAATGCGTATGCTTTGAACACTGAAATCGTTTTAAATCAAAATAACATTTTGCACCTCCTCGAAAGCTCTTACAAAGCTTATTGCATACGACTGGACAAGAGAGGAGAGCTACCCATAAGAGCTCTGATAACGAACAGTATTTTTTTGTGTAGACGCTCTTCTCACATCATTCGTTTAAATACTTCGGTTGTGATTCGAAGTATCGACGAATGTGTGCAAACAAGTGTTTACAATCGATGCAGAACCAAACCACATACACAAACGTACATACATATGTACTATAGATACCCATCAGAAAAATCGTATAAAATCGTATAAACAAATGTATGAAAATTGTTATCAAATGCTTGGTTCGCTACCAGATTCTATGCCGTGTTGTGTCAATATGTCGATAATAAATTGACTTATTATACCCTCTACCCAAAGGGTAAAAGGGTATATTAGTTTTGTGTGAGGGTATACATGTAACACACAGAAGGAGGCGTGGCAGACTCCACAAAGTATATATATATTCTTGATCAGGGTGATAAGATGAGTCGATATAGCCATGTCCCTTTGGGTTCTGGGTATAATTATTTTCCCAACTTTTCTTAACAACACGGTTTTGATTTTACACGGTTTTGATTTAACACGGTTTGGAAATTAAAAGTTTTATATATGGTTACACGACTTTATTCCATTTAGCATGATTTATTTTGCATCAATGTCTTTTTTTGCCCGGTTTTTTTCTAGACGATTTTTTTTAGCGTGTACGAACAGAATTAGGCATATAGTATAGCAAATATAAATTGGTGATATATATTAAGGTTAAGAATCTTAAAATTCAAAGGGATATGTGCAGCAACAGAAGAAGAAAATATATGAACAGGCATAATGATATTGTCAGCAAAATTATTAGCATAAAGAAACTTTTATGTTAATTATTATTATTATTAATATATTTATTTGTAGTATTAATTCACACATATATACAAATGTGTTTGCCGGTTTGCAGCACACGCGTTTTCGCCATTCAAATATAAAAATCTCTCTCAGAGAGGCGGAGAAAAATATATTGAAGCGAGGTACTTATAACTGGTGGATCCACGTCCAAAAGATCTTCCGGGAGTGGCTGCCAGCTGAAAACAAAAGCAACATTACCCGAGAGTGCCGGCGACAAAAAAAAATCTTTTCGAGGGAGTTACCTTAGCCCGCACTTTTGGTGCCAATTCTAAGTATAAGAGAACACTCTGGTAAAGCAAAATATAAATATATAAGCTCATAAAACCTTACCCTAGCTGGAACACCACCACACGTAAGGTTCAGATAGGTTATTCGTATTTAAGTGGGCCTCTGTAGCTGGAACTCTAAATTTAAAATCTAATTTAACTAATACGGCCGTAAGTAGAACCAACGAAAAGTCGGCACTAACCTTTAAAAATTCGTATCCCACCTTCGGTGGCTGCATGCAAAATTTTCAATTTTTGAACACGCTCATATTCTTTTTCACACTTTCACTTTTAGATTTACTCCTTTTTTTTTATAGATATAAAGGCTTTTATACTTGTATTAGAGCTAAGCGCGCACAACTGTTTACTCGTGGAGTCGCTACCAAAAAGACAAATCCTGATCTGTTACTTTTCTGCTACGAAGAAAGGTAACTTTCGTTCGCGGGAATTATTCCTTTCTTCCGTCCTTTGACAGTGAGTGTCATGACAAGGGAAACGTTTGATGATACTACTTTCCACTTTCCTAATGCACTAGTGGGCGATGAAACCTACGAACTATGAACAAGCAAAGGGGAAGGAAATTAGAAGAGAGCAGATATCTCCTTGCATACTTCTATAAAAATAAGCTTTTACATGTACTTACGTTTAACGCACATTTGTTTCTACGATTCAATGGGAATTATTTATCGGAAACTCGTTCCAACTGGCAAAATGGTTAATGCGTTGTGTTTGGGGTTTTGAAGCATTAGGAGCATCGAATCCATTCAAATGTTTCAGAGACATAGTGATTCGCGTTCAGCTCTTTATTCTCTCTTTAAAACGAGCTTACAATACAGAATACATACAACAATAAAAATAATACGTCTGCGTGGTCAGTTTGTCTGTAATATGGAGACGGGTTCTTGCATAATTTCCTGTATCTTTGCCTCTGGAACCAGCGATCCATCGGCAAGCAATGTGTGTACAATACCATCATGCTTGTTGCCACTGGATCGAGCCTGCAGCACGAATTGGATCTGATCCAGAACGAAGTGTGTATCCGTGCCGCCCTGCACGAAAACGGCCTGCCAAAAAGGAGCCGAAAGGGGGTTATTACAAAATATGCCATTTCCTGTTAATTGTTTTTTGGGATTTACCGCCTCCTCACGCAGCTCATCGTTCACATATAGACTGAGGGTGTCCAGCTTGAGCATGATTCGATACTCCTGCCCCGTCTCGCTCGTAATCAGCCAGAGGCGATACTGTCGAGTCAGCTCCTCCGTGTACTGTGCATGCGGCTTTCCATCGATGTAGAGCGAATATTCGTACTTGAAACCGGGCGCCGGATCGACGCGTATAATGCAGCGAGAGCTCTCGATAAGAAATGTGTCCTCCCCGACCAACTTGAACATCCAGTCACGACGAAGTACCTCCTGAAAAAGACAAAATCTTTACACTATTAAAGCTATTTCAGAAATGAAATAATATGGGAGATGAATCCAGAAAAAATAAATTTTTAGGTAGATTGTAACATGCTTAATGAATGTAGTGGCTGTTTCAAGATGCTTTCCAAACATTTGTGTAGCACTAAAGTGGTCGGATTGCTTGTTGTTATGCAACCAAAAGAATTTGTTTCATTTTTCTGTTTGCAATTGAGTTGTAGCACAAAATACTTTATAACGAAATATAAAATAATTATTTATCTACTTAACCATGACCTCGTGTTGCTATCAACATCCTACCATTCTCCCAAAAGGCCCAGTTCTTAGGAATTTCCATCGATTAATAAATAAATTAATATGATAATTAAAAAAAAAACAACTTTTGTATTATTCATAAAAAGCGTTATCATTATCCACACTTAATAATCCTTCTTCTCTTAGATGTCACGTTTCATCTGAAGCTACACATTTGAATCTTATAGTTAATTCAATTTATGGGTTTGCCTTGATGTAAATACTATATATTATCAATTTGTTCATTACATAAAGGACAGCTTTAAAATTTTAGTAACACCTGTTCCTAAAAACCACTTATTACTTATATCTATGTATATTGGTTTAATTACAAGTACTTCATCGATTCCCAAACCAATAACTGAACTGATTGGTCTATAACGGGGGTTGCATTGCATTTTTCAAATTATTTGTCAGCACACCTACCCGGCCATTCACCCAAATCATGCGTCTCCCACTCGTAGTGCCGTGCTCCAGTTCTATGCGATACATTTTGCCATTAATGGGGGCACACCATTGGGCGACTATATGTTGTTTATTGTAGCGTTGCGCCTCGGGCACATGATCAAGACTCATGATGGGCTGAGTCGACAGATTCTCCAGGCGCAGCGTTGGCGACAGGAAGGACATCTTGCGGTGCCTAAAATCGATAGAGTTCATAAAAAATTGGCAGATGCATTAAAAATGCATAAACAACAAATGCAAAAGCAAATATCACACTGTTCGTCAGTCGCCAATTACACAATCGAAATGCAATGTAGGAGCGTAAAACGCAAACGCAAACGCACACACAAGCAAACAGGCAATACAAAAACACATATAAAAATGTGGCGCGCTTTTAGGGGCAAAGTTAAATGAACCTTTTGAGCGCGCAGTGGAAGCGTTGGACAACAAATAAAAACAAAATGTAAACATAAATGACGACAAGCGCTGTTTTTTATGTTGAGAGTGACCGAAACGAACGAAGCGCACGAACCCGACTGCGCCTCACTGGGGATCTTGCTAAGTAATTTACCCTCAAATGTGTGCTACGATTTAGCTTAAGCAGCGCGAAACGAACGCGCGACCGTGCGTTGGCAACGTCAATGGCACACTAAGCACACATAACACACAATAAAGGCAGAAGGCTGGAAAAAATATATAGTTGGCGGTCGTTGATTGTGTTGTGGCTAAAAATGCAGAGCAGGCCTCTTGTTGTTGATGTTGTTGTTGTCGCCATTGCTGTCGTCGCTGCGCCTTTGCATGGCGCCAAACCGAGTTGATTTGCTTAAGTTGAGAGTGTGCGTGTGAGTGTGTGTGTATGTGTGTGAGTGTGTGTGAGTGTGCTGGGACCGCTTGTATGCTGAAGCCGCAGCTAAGCGTGCGCCACTTCTTGTTAGTTAGCGTCGACGTGGCCAGCTCAGCACTTGGCCAAGTGTGTACAGTAAAGTCCGTCTAGTTGACCAGCTCCATAAGATGGCATCGAAGACGCCTATTTGATTAAAGTATGCTCTGGCCGACCATTAAAAACGTTCACAATCAATTAAATTCGATGACCATCAACATTGAGCTTTTCTATAGACCAAGAGCAAGAATTATAATTTGTTTAATTTATTTGTCCCTTCAAAATAGGAACGTACGATTGTCTCCCCATTTTCGTTATTTATTTTTAAAGTGAAATTTTCTTTTATTATATTAGTTAGTTTTCTGCTACCAATATAGCAGCTTAAGCTAGTTGAAAATGAATGGGGAATACAACAGTTGTCTATAGTATGCAGCTATAGGACGCAATTATATCTAACATATAATTACAATATTTACGATTTAATACGATATTTATTTAAGATATTATCTCGTGGGGAGATCTTTTGGATGGCTCTTCTTCAGTCTTCTCCACCTGGGTCTGGAGAGCATCCGTCTCGCCAATGCGTTCGGGTGATTGCCGAGGCGCTTCTCGTAATTGCTTGCGTGTTCTCGAATGACATCGCCAACTTTGGCAAAACCTAAGTCCCTTTCGATGTCTCTAGTGCGTATGTACCAAGGGGCATTGCATATCTTCCTGAGAAAAATTAAACTTATAGAAAAATACAAATACTGCTTAAACTAGGAGTTTAGCCTGCTTATTTAGCACGTCAGCAACTTTCTGCACCCTAGATCCTTTTCTATATGTGCCGTTTTCATATACCAGGGAGCACTTGTTAGTGGGCGAAGGTTTTTCGCTTGCAGGATCCGGATTTTCTGCAGGTGTGATTTTGCTATTGAAGCACGCGAAGAACGGTTTTAAAAATTAGGTTTTTGGCAAACCAATATGCATGGTAAGCGGTAGTTCACATAATCAAATCAAACTTAAGGAGGAGTGGATGTATGTGATAAACTAATTGCTAACTATACCAGCCAGCGCCAACTAAATGCTGGCAGTTACTTTGTTTTCAAATATGATAGATGTCTCTGTCTTTAGTAGAAGAACATGAGAATTGTTCCCAAACCGGCAATAGAATCCAGAGTCGTGTGTGGCCGATTTAGTTCGATTTTACTGTACACATACATGTACAAATATGATTGTTCGTGTGGAAGTGTGTGTGTGAGTAAACATTTGCACACATATGTACCCGTATCGCTAGCGCATAAAAATAAAAATAAACTTGTGCCTGCCAACTCACATGTTTCACGCTTCGCCACACACACACATACACACACATACCACAAACACAAGCTAAAGTGGCGCATATTGAGCGTGCGCCCCAAAGTATGCAATTGCTTTTGCATTGCAATTGAATTTCATTTCATTGCCCAAGTTTTGTCATAGCAGACGGCATTCGAACAAAACAAAAAATACGAGTAAAAAACTTTCGGTATTGTCCCATAAATTTACCACTAATATGGCCAAACATATGTATGTGACAATTATATGGCTGACGGCGCTGGCGCTTTTAACGTTTATGGCCAAACGGTAGTAGGCGGCATAAATTTCGAGCTTCTCAGCATTCCCACCCACAACCTCGCCCATTCACAAGCCAAAGGGGGGCAATTTGTCGCGCTTTGTTTTGTTTTGTTTTGTTTGTAGTGCTGTGTTTGCTTCTACCGTTATTGTTGTCTGGTTTATGGCGTAATATTTTCAGCCATAACCACACGCACGAAAAGAAAAATGCTAATGACGTTCTGTGTCGAAACGCACAGCGCGCTTTTAGGTGGCATTTATGGCAACACATTCGCCACAGTGGCAAGTGGCAAGTGGCAGTGGCGGCGCTGCCTTCTGATACTCGTATTTCAAACATCGGCAAATACAATAAACTATTGATAAATGTAGCATTTAGCTCTTGGCTACACACAATCACATCTTATTTACAATACAAGTGGGCCACATCATATATCAAATGCGCTTTGATGGATAGCTAGCGTTGAGCCACTTCAATCGCTCGAGAGAGCGTGTGTGTGTGTCTGTGTGTGTGTGTGTGTGTGTAAGGAAGTGCATGTGTGGGTTGAAAAGTATTTGTTATTCTCTAAGAGGGGGGCCCTGCAACAAAAATAAAAATCAAGCTAACGATACTATGCATGAGCCACATACTCGTACTCGCAGTACAGCAATCACGCGAAGGTCAATGCAAAGCGGCAAGCGGTATTTGAAGTCGGTTATAGTTATAACTGAACGCTAAGGCCAAAACAGTAAAGGCAACGGCAACAACAACAGCAAAGGAAACGTCAAAGGCTGGCACAACGACCACAGAAGATAGTGAAACGGTTGACAAGGACAAGGCGAAAACGCTGCCAGCTGGCAGCCATCACATATGTATGGGGATTTATGTGTGTGGACATGTGTGTGTGTGTGTGTGTGCAAGTGTAATTATTGCTTTTATATATACATACATATAAAACACAATAAATGAGCGAGCTCTAGTTCTCCCTCGATGCCGCATACTTGCATGTCCCATGACCCATGACTGATGCGCACAGTGGGCGGCAAATTAAATGGTAGTGCTTACAATTCTTCGCTACGTATAAAGGGAAATAAAAAAACAATTTTATTGGAACTTCAAATTCATTTATTCAAACAAAAAAATATCTTATTAATTTATTCAAATTCACACCACAATCCCCATCTGAAAAAAGTTTCAATTTGACAGCAAAGTCCCCATTAATAATTCATTTTGAAATTGAAATTGTTGAATTCATTTGTTGCAAAAAATGTGATAAATGAAGAGCCGCTCGACCGATTTTGTGAAAACTTAAACTTAAAACATAAACCATCTACTAAATAGTACGAACAAAGCCTAAACATTTGATTTGGATAGGTGAGCCCGTTCTTGAGTTATAAAATTACACCCAAAAAGATATATCTTAAAGCAATGCATAGATTTTCTTTTTAAAAAAGTTAGGGTGCTTTTAATTTATATGCTCACACATACTTACTTATATCTGGAAATTATAACACAATCGAAGATTTAATCAGCAAATCGACTACATAAGTCGAATGGGGTCTATTTTTTATGGGTAAGTTAATAAGTTATAGTAATAAATGGAGCGTTTACCCGTATTTTAATCCACAAAGAAAATATGTAACAAAAATGCTTTGATTGTATTGTGTTTAAAAATGAATTGAAAAATGTTATAATGCTGTGCAGTATCTAAGTAATTATTATGCCTTCAAACACCACTTTTTGAAAGCAGAAGGTTGTCAGATAAATAAAGATTTTTTTTTTCTAAATTGCATGTGTTACGAGTTTTAGTTAGAAGTTGATTTAGCTCAGATATTTTTCATTTTGTTTAAAAGCTTATTGCAATTCGTGGATAGCTTTTGTTGTGCATTAATTTAGGATAAGATGAAAATCTCTTGTTGGTTTTGCAAGAAACGGATAAACTACGAAGACCTAAATTTGAGGAGGAACACTAAACTAGGATTTATACGCAAGTCTGCTCAATTAGGAAGATAAGAGAAGGTGGGATTCTAGCTAAGATGTAATGGACTAATGTAACTGTAATGCAACTGTTGGGGTCTGTCATCCACTTATATTTAGAACAGTTAAAGGGCAAATAGATGGATCATTCTGCAGATGAAGAGTATCTTTGAACGATAGAATAAGCTTGTAGCTTATAAGCGAATACACTTATGCTAGAGTTTTAAAAAAGAAATTCAGTTCAAAATTTGAATGCAACAAATGAGGAGGTATTTTCCTCATTTTCCTCAGGCAGCACTTTGAGATTGTCCCACTGTGCGTGGCTGCATTTTTTGTGCTTTCGCCGACATCCAGTCTAAATTTGTAGAGCGTTGCGCATTTTCCGAACAGGCTGAGCTGCCAACAATTTTGGCAAATGTGCCAAAAACATTATTATTATTCGTAGTATCCTTGCGCTCCTCATCCTGTCGAACTACTACAACATGTGCGAGCTTGCGTGCAGTGTCGCTAACAATTAATTTCCATAGATAATTGCCTGCCGATAGCAAAAACACCAGCAGGAGCAGCAGCGGCAGCGGCAGCGAGAAAACGACAGTCCGCGACATTAATCAAAATGTGGCACGGCTTATTGCTTGTTGGCCTGCTCAACTTATCCGTGCATCAGGATTTGTCAGAATCCAAAAGGGAAATGACTTTTGGTGGCACGCTCCTCGAAAAACAAAATTGAACGATTGTCGACACAAGTTAAAGTTTTTATTCCTTTTTATTTTGTGAGTTGTTTGCTGTACTTCGCTTTAATGCTTCAAACAAATTGAAGTTGCAAACTATGTGCGACCTTATGCTAGTTGGATGTATTTGATATTTGATGCTAAGTATGTAGAGATATATAACCTTATTTATTTTGTGTATCAAATAATACTGTTCACAACGCCAATAGAACGAGAGGTTAACAAACTGCCATTGATGGAAAACAATGCTAATAATTATAATTGTGCGGTTGTAAATATTTATGTGAATTTCAAATGCTGCGCCATAACAAAAACTTAATATGTATGTATTTAAATAGCAGCAGGTCTGTCTCTAAAATGTACAACACTGTCTCCCTAATAATAATAATAATGTGGAACAAATTTGAACAACTCTGGGCGTAGAATAGACTTCACTTGTATATTGTACCTATAAAGTACATAATAAGTATGTATATAAATATTTATATATGTATATCAAAGAGGCTAACCAATGCTAATTGCACTATCTGCGACCTATGTTTGAGGTGCAAGCTAATTGCTGTAAATTACGAGCACACTGGCGGCCAAAACAATCGCAACAATATACAAATGCATAGGGATGTGTTCTTAAAGCTACAAGATTGTTAATTATTTACTAGAAGCAACAGTTCAACGCGAATTGAATATTTTCCTTTGCTAAATTGACAAACAATCTTATTAAGTGTTTAGTCGAGATTTCAGAGGCAACATGTTAGAATATGTACAACATTTAGGCTGTAGTGATTACATCAAATATTATTTAGTTGCTTGTAAATATTTGTGTATTTTCTTAAACAATTTCTAAACATAATGAGTTCCATTAAATATTGCTTCAGTTTGAATCCAATACCGAATATATCTTACAAAAGAATACAGCAGAACTTAACAAGTAATTATTAAACACCTTTTAAGTATGTATTGATCAGTCGTGCATATTTGACAACTTAAATTAAATTATACTTCAACTAAAAATAAAAAAAGAAGGCTTGATATATTTGAGAAGGAAGAAGAAAATTCTTCTTCTTAATTAACTAATATTGTTTTGATTATAAAAAATGTAGCTACGCTTTTGAATGTCCAATGATCATTTGGGAAGAGATGAAAGGAAGGGCTCTGCAGACGTTTTCTTAAAACGCATAGCAGCATAATTATTTAAACTTAGAATATATTGCCTCGTTCAATTAATATTAAAAACGAGTGTTGCTCTTAAATTGACTTGGGGGAAGTGGTTGAAGGCAATAAGTGTGGCATTTGTGTAAGTGCAAGTTCCTTGGCCGCCAGCGTAAACGTGGATGTATTGTTATGGCTGTGAGTGAGTTCGATTAACAACTAACAATATTATCAAATAGATAATAGATATTTATATCAAAAGAGTTGGCTTGGCGGTGCTGCGCATGCAAAATGCTTTAGGGTAATACGAAAAGTCTTCGATCTCGTCACTTGCGCGACAACATAATATTGATGACAGTACCACAGTTGTGCAGGACATGTTTGGCATCATTTAGAGACATGTTGGTTAGATCGTAACCATCGATTTCCAGCAGCTTATCATTGAGGCTAAGCAGGCGGGCGGCACTGGAATTGGGCGTTATGGAGCTGACGAAGATGCCGACCTGCAAATGAAATAAATTGTTAGTCTTTATATTATTTTGGGCCTTCCAGTTAACTCTTACCTGATTAAGTAGCTCGGCAATATCGAAGCCAATGTTGTGCTCCCACTTTAATGTGACTTGTTTAACAGTTGGATTCTTGTGCACGCCAAATATCCACGTGGACTTCTTATGGCTTGCCCTGGACGTATTATTGGTGGCTGTGGAATTGAGTGAGTGCTGTGAGAGCGTATCGTCTACCTGACTGACATCCTCATCATCCTCATCGCCATTGTTTATATTATTTTGATAGTCCAACTGTTGCTGTTGGTTTTGTTGCTCTTGGTCCTCCTCGTGCGTGCTGTTTATGGCTGTTGTTTTTAGGTTACTGTTGAGCGCATCCTGATAGCTACTGTTCTGCTCATTTTGACTGAAGTACTGTGGCTCCGTTTGCTGTTGCTGTTGTTTTTGCTGCTGCTTGCGCTGTCTCATCGATTCGTATAAAGTTAGATCCTCTGGAGTTTTCTTTGTAAATACGCGTGCTATATGGTAAGGTGGCGGCTCCATACGCGGTGTTAATAGCAATGGTTGCTGTTGTTGTTGCTGCTGCTGCTGCTGTTGCAATAATTGCATTTCATAATCCTGCAGGTCGCCATTCACTTGTGTGGTGGGCAGCGTATTGGCATCAACATAAAGCTGCTGATAGTGCGCCTCATAGTTGACCAAGCCATAATAGTCCTGCGGCAGGGGCTGTTGGGTCTGATAGACCCCATAAATGTGCGGCGGCTCATGCACTGGCTGTGTGGTTGTGTATATTGCACTTGTTGCTGGGATCGTATGATCAACCATATCCTGGTTTGCTGCATTGCTGCTATCACAGTGTGGTGTTGCTGCCATTGCCACTTGGCCATTGGGAACCACACGCGCCTCGCGCACATCATTGGCCACTGCTGATGTTGTTGCTTCCGCTTGCTGGGGCGAACGCGGCGCACTTGCCTGCGCCTGTCTCACATATTTGGCCATTTGTCGCAGCTCCTTCGGATAGGGTGTTGGTGAGCGCATGAGGCGCACAGAACCGGCCAGCTGCTCGTTGAGAGCAACTGCTGCTGCAGCCTGCTGTGCATAATTGTTAGCTGCGTAATTGCTGGATGTTGTTGCTGCTCCTGCTGTCGAAGTTTCCTGTGGATTGTTCCCACTCAGTATGGTGGCCTCCTCAGCAAAGCAAATGCGACGCGAGGGACTCACAGCTAAGCTGCCACTACCTCCATGCTGTGAATGCTGCTGCTGCTGACTGGCATAGACAAACTCGTATTGCTCTTGTTGGTGTTGCTGCTGCTGCTGTTGTTGCAAGCTGTTCATTTTGAAGGTGACCTGCGGCAGCATAAAGCATGTCAGCTGCGTTTTGGTATTCGCGTCCAGGTATTGCAGCGGTACCAGCGGTTGTGATTGATTGTCGCTAAGCCACAGCGATGTGAGATTCACCAGGCTTAGCATTGAAACAGGTAAGGCGCTTATATAGTTATTAACCAGATTCAACACCTTCAGCTTCACCAGATGTCCAACGTTTTGTGGTATATGCGATAACTGATTATTGGCCACGCTCAGCACGCTTAGTTCACTACAGCAGCAGAGCTCGTCGGGCAACTGGCGCAGCTGATTGTCATCCGCAAAGAGGAAGCGAAGACGCCTCAGCATGCCAATGGTGGTAGGCAGACACATGATCTTATTGTGACTAACCATCAGCTCCTCCAGCGTTTCCAGATAACTTATGCTGTCTGGCAGAGCAGTCAGACCGTTTGACTCACACTTAAGCGTCACCAGGGACTTCAGCATGCCCACACTGAAGGGGAGTGCTTCCAGGTTGTTACTGCACACCGATAGAACCTCCACATTCCGCCAGTGGCTGACCTCGTTCGGCAACGTGTCCAGCAGATTATTATTGGCTTCGAAATGTTGCAGTTCCCGCAATTTTCCAATATTTGGCAGAACGCGTCTTATCTGATTAAAGTCAATCCACAGCTCACGCAGCGACTTAAGCTCTCCAATGACCTCTGGCTGCAATATTAAGAAATTTAAATGAAAGCACAAGATTGGTTTTGGAGCAACCTACCAGTTCAGTGAACTCATTGCCGCCTATATCCAAGCGCTGTAAATTGTTGAGTCGTACCATGGACTTGGGTAATGTGATCAGATTGTTTAGACGCAGCTCCAATATGCGCAAATTTACAAGGCGGCCAAAATTGGCGGGCAAGAACTCTAAATAGGTTTCATTTAGCAGCAGCTCTTGCAGCGATATCAGCGAGGTGATGGCATCAGGCAATCGTTGCAGGCAATTGGAACTCAAATCTAAAAAGGTTAGATTTTTGCACGACTTTATCTCATCGGGTACGTTGGCTATCACTGGAAAAAAGGAAAAAAAAAAGATTTACATAAACAAAAAAATATTTAAAATATTATGTTTTTCGACACAATAGCTCGGTCACTCAGCAGACACATTTTTTAAGATCTATATTTATTGAGGACTGTTTTCCATTTTTAATTCAAAAAACTTTGGACGCCTTTAAGCTACTCAGAAAACTTTTTGCACCACTTAGAATTGCAGATAATCTAAATACCAAGGGTATTTCAGATTTTATGTAGGGATAAATATACAATCTGCTCTAACTTGTTAACGAATTTCAAAAATACCATTTCTAATTTTTCAGAAATTTAACTATTTCTGCTTAGAGAGTGTAGAAGTTAGCAGAGGCGCTACAGACTTTAAGTAGAACTAGGCCAGCTCGAGGTTATGGAGCTTGTCTTCTCAAAGCTGCTGCTACTCCTATTCGTTTTACTTACAATTGCGACTTAGATTCAAGTGCTGTAATTGGCGCAGCGAGCCAATCGCCTGCGGTATACTCTCCAGATTGTTGCTGTTCACATGGAGCACGCGCAATCCTTGGCAGTAGAAAAGCTGAGGCGGCAGTGTTTGCAGCTAGAGAGAGGTGGGAACGTGTTAGGCTTGATATTTTGAAGATGTCTGGGGATGTTACTTACGCGTGTGGTGCTTAAGTGGAGCTCCTCAAGCGTGCGCTCGTGCTGCCACACCTCGGGAAAGGCATCGGTGAGTGGCGTATTACTATAATCCAACTTATCAATGACTTCGACATGTTTGAATTTAAAGCATGGAAAACATTTCGCCAACAGTGGCATGTTGACAATTTTTTATTGTTGTGCGTTCTTTTGCAGTGGTTCTTTGTTTTGTTGTTGATGTTGCGGTTTGGTTTTAAGGCACGGCCGTTTCTGTAAATAAAACGTATGCATATACATATACATCCAACACGCATACATAGGTGCACGGGGCGGTGATTGTACGAGTATATATATACATATATGTATGGTATATGTATTTATGTACATATTCATATTTGGGTCGGCTTTAAGCCGCATAACTCACCTATGATTCATCGCTGCTGCAGCACAAAGACAGCGCCGACAGCAGTTTGGACATTGGTGGCTACCGCGCCCGCTGCTGCTGCTTCATTTGCGTTCATTGTCATTTTTTGAGGCTTGTTATTGTTTTACATACCAACGCATAAATACATATACACACACACTCGCACACCTGCGCTTCTTGGCTTTTAACTAGTTCGAAGGCAGGCGGCGCTATTTCGCAGCCGTGTGCATGCACGTTCGATCGCTTGAGGTTTCTTAAAACTTAAACGGTATTTATTTTCGAAATGGCTTATCGTTTTATTTAATGTTTTCCGTTTTGAAAAAACAAGTTGCAGTTTGCGTTCGCGAGCTTCTGCTTCTTCTTATTCACCTTTGCTGGCCTTGCCAGACCTTCTGTTAACCAAACAAACAGCATGCTGCCACTGAAGGCGGATCAAAATGCTGCCACCATTCAGTGTGCGGATATACATACATACATACATATGTATGTATACATTTAATTTTTGCTTTCAACTCAATGTAAGCAATTTGCGAAAAATACATTTATTTCACTATAGAATTTTTAATACAAATGAACCAATTGTAGAATTTATAATTGAAGCAGCAGATGAAATATTAGTTCCTTTGTCTTTTATTTGACTCAATTATACCAGAATTGTTTTGCAGGTAAAATTTAATAAATAAAATTGAAATATATATTTTAAAATGATATTTACTTAAAGCATGTAACTTTTTTGAGAATTTTAAATTTAAACTTAGTAATTTTGGTAAAACAGCAGTGAAAAAATAATTCAAAATCGCCATCTGTCAGCTATCATAATACTAAGTGCTGCTGCTGAAAAAGCCAAAAGGTGGCGCAGCGTTATTATAGAACAGGGTAACATTAATTAACCCAATTGGCAAATAAATATTTGAATTATTCATATATCACTTTTTAGGAGCGGCGGACTATCTTATGGTTGGTCCAACATTTCTACAACTTTAGCCAAATCGAAGAGCGGTTTCCAAATTAAATTGCTTGAGTTATTTTTCCAAAATGCAATCCAAAATCATGTAAAAATCTACCTGCTTCATAGAATTGCTGGATTTGTGTTGTGATTTACAATTTTCAATTTTAATTTTTCAATATTGGTACCGTATTTATATAAGCTTGTACATTAAAACGAACGATTATACAACTGGTTTTTTGTAATTTAAAATATGTATGTAATATAAAACTTATTGTAATCAAACATTTGAAAGATTTAATGAATGGGAGTGGGTAGAATAATTATCTTCAATTAAAGTTTCGCTAATGCCAATTTGTAAACTTGATTTCAAGTTTTAAATGCGGTCGAACAATTTGATATTAAATTACTTATGCACTATGTATAGGAATATGTCAGTGGTTCGACATAAGCATCTGTTCAGAGTACACTGGGCGTGTTTAAAAGCCAGCCTATTCGTTGCGAATACTTGTAGTTTCTGGGCCAGCGTTGTGTGTTATTTGCTCACCTCTCGGTCCTGCTCATATTTGCATGCACTTTGGCGCACTTCCTGGCTTACGTAGCCGTGGTCGCACGTAAACGTAGTCATTTACTATATTTTGTTGATAACCATTGTCAACAGTTCGCGCCTAACAATGTTGCGTCAAATGCCACACAACAAATTGAGCGTTTTTAATACATACTCAGTGCACTTGGGCTTTATGCAAATTCCGTAGACATAAAAGTATACAAAATTGCTAAAAAACTAAAAAAGCAATAATTTTAAGCAGCATCTAAAGACTTTGACCCGCCATGGCGTCATAAAACAACTAAATAAAAATCGAGCTGCCAGCAACGGCGAGGGCAGCACGGTTGTGTGAAAATTAAACAAATAGCGTTAGCGCTTAGTTTTTGTTTTTGACTGTTTTCTTTTGGTTTTTTTCAGTTTTTTCTTTTTTTTTATTAGGGTTTCGACAAATTTACACTTTAAACAATTGTAAAATTGTACAACGGCGTGCAAATAAACACGTAATAAACCTTAGCTGTTGCTTTGTGCAAGACTAAAATTTACTGCTCGCACGGTCCAAGCCAGATGTGACATGCAATTGGTTTTGGAGTCTGTAGGAAGCTCAGTTTTAATTTTTATGTCGCACGCTGCAGTTGCGGTTACAAATTTGCAGCTGCTTTTGAAAACCGCACCCGTTATTCCGTTCGTTATTATCGTGAGTGTTAATTGAGTTCTACGACTATTTGTCCCTCTTCAATGAAGAGGGCGCGTGAATTAGATGTGTAAATTGAACAACAAATAAAATAAAGAACATGGGAACGCCTAGAATGACAGTGCAGTTTAATCTCAATGAAGAATTTAAAAATGGGTTCAGAAACTTATAAATTCAGAATGACTACAATTGTTAACAATATCCTGAAGGCTGATAGTTTGGACCACACGCGTGAATTGTGTTTTCTATTTGATCATAAAATATTTTCAACTAATTAATTAGTGGAAGTCTAAATTGTGTTTTAAATATATGTAGTATATACTACCTTCTCATCTGAGAAGGAGGGTTTGTCTAGAAACTTCCATTCCTAGCAGACCTGCTCTGAATTTAGTTGGACGCAGCAGTGTAAGGATAAAAAAAGAATCCCAAGAAGAAGTTCTACTTATGTTGCAAAAATAAAAATTAATAGCTTTGAACTATTGAAAATGTTTTAGTATAAAGCTTAAAGGTGAAGAATTTTGCTCATTTCCATTTCCTTCGCCTGTTTAAACAGGTTTGCTTTCCTAATTCTATATAGAAAAAGAATTAAGCTTGAAAATAGTCGAGAGTGACATTTTATTTTGATACTATAGATGTTTTTATTGATAGTTTACATGTTACATGCTTTAATAAGTTCTTAAGTAGTTGCTTTTCGTTGATTATAGATAGTTTTTCGTTTTTTGGAGATCCTTGTACATACTCCTATAGTTCTTTAAAAAATTTATAACAATTTTAATAATTTCCAATAATAAATAAATAACTGAAACTATTTGCTAATTTTAAGCTTAACAAGTAAAGTGTTGATTGATTTCGATGAGAACACTGAAGAGGTATAAAGTAATTCTATATTTAAAAAAAGTTTGTTTTAAAGCTGGCTATGAATTGAAAACAAGCAAAAGAAATATGGTTTGAAAAAGGGCTTCGAGGATGCCTGAAATACGAGCTGCAATATTTTCCGTAATAACAACTTGTCTATATCGATTACATATCATAGAACCCATAATTTTTTTTTTTTAAATCGACTGTTCAACTATTTCCACATGCATTCTTAATGCAAAAACACCTGTGATAGTTTCCATAACGAATTGTCAATTGAGTGTAAAGTAAAGGTGAAACGTTTTAAAAATAAATGAGAATCGATACAGTTTGAACTGAGACGCGAAAGTACGTCCCATTTCCGACTGTCCAGTCCGGTCTGTAATTTAAACCACCTGTCGGTGTTTATTCATTCATTGATGGACTCTGCGAGTGTGCCAGCATAATTCATTCAATAATTTCGTGACTCATCCGCCGTCAAGCCGGGGGATTCGTGTAGCGTGTGGGAGAGCGCGCGAGAGCCATTGTTACCCCACCAACCCCTGATGTAGCGCTCATTAGTAATGCGACCCTTCCGCTGCAACCCCCGCGTGTACACAGCGTAAACAAAACCTCAATGCCGGCACCTCAGGGCGCAGTCGCATGCTCTGATTTCAAAGGAGAGCCCAGTGGCGAGAGAGTGCGAAACGGTTTGGTGCTGTAACGGTTTTATTGTCGATTTGAACGTATTTCGTGTTGCTCTATTGCCGGCTGTATAATTATCATGTTGCTATTTCATCGGATCCATGCTTCATTGTTCATTTCTTGGACTTGCCCTTTTTGGCGCCACCGGACTTGGCAGCCTTTGTCTCCTTGGTGGCTTCGGCTGTGGGAGCATTGTTCTCTGCAACTGGAGGGCTCTCTGGGCTACTGGCTTCGCTTTTGCCAGCCGCATCCTTTTTAACTTTGCCGGATCCCTTCTTTTTGCCAGGCATTGTACAGGGAGCTGTTGATGAAACGATCAGTGGAACCATAAGCTGGACGGATGGACATTACTTACCGCTTCTGAATAAGAAGAAAATGTTGAATATTTCGAATTTTAAGTTTTGTTTTTCCAAATTTTTTGTTGCTCTGCCAATGATGTTTTGAATTGAACTGAGTTTTTTTCGTTTCCCCTGAAATGCCATTAGATCCAAAGGTTGCTGGGACCCATCCAAAACAACACAAAAACCGAATTGCCTATATTTTGCTGTCGCTATTCTCGGTCATTTCCCAACCATTGCCCAACCGTTTCGCTCTCTCAATGGGGTGGCTCTCCCCACCACTCGCCATCTGGGGGAAGCGGTGCCGTTTATGTCGCTGCGGCTGCCACTCAGCGCAGTCGTAAGAGCAGAGTCGAAGCAGCTGCCACGCCATACAACTACTTGTATTTTGCTAGCGCAAATTTTTATTTACCTAAATTTAGTTACACATTAGCTACAGAGTTCTAAGCTGTGCAGTTGCCAGACTATAAGTAGTACAAGTATTACAAGTAAATAAATCGTCGTTATCGAGCAATCACGTATCTCTCCAGTTAACTGAGCAGGCAACGAATCTAATTAAAATTTCACCAAAAAAAAGGAGGAAACAAAAAATATCGATTTCTGCCCATGTAAAAAAACCAAACCAAACCAAACCGAACCGAACCACAGCAGACGACGTGTGTGCCTGGCGGGCTGTGCAATATAGTATTCTAGCAAATATTTTTTTCCGCACTCGAGCAAAGGGGCGGCGTGAGTTGAGCAAATGGCGCCACAGCGAAATACTGTGACCACAAAAACGCCCAAGGATAATGCGGCGACCCTCGATGAACGGCTCTCGAAGCGGGTGAACAGCGTAATTCCCAAGAAGCGGTGAGTGCCAGAATAAGAGCTCCCTAGATAGCCCCAAGATGTTAATCCCTCCATTATTATGCACAGGCAGGAGGCGCTGAAATGGTATGGCTGGGGCTATAACGACTCCCAGTTCTACGGACGAGAAGGTACAATATGTTTTCGCGGCGACAGGTGAGTTAATATTAAATAAAGCATTATCATTGGGCCAAGCGTGCGACTGTATTATCAGTTCGAATACATATTAGTTCTGAGGTAGCCGGACATACTATACTTTAAATCAAGTCTGTTTAGAAGGTGTGGAAAATTGAGTTTCTATTTGTAGAACAGACCTTATTCATTTAAGAAATCTCGCAATTAAATACTTAATCCATGACCACGGGATCTTAGGGTTCGTAGAGCTTCTAAAAAAATATAACTTTTGCAGCCTGCAATTAATTCGATAAAAAGTCGGTGCTAAGCTCCTGTATTTTGGTTCGGAAATTAACATTTAACATACTTGTATTATCCATTATTATGATTTCCCTCTTCGCAGGTATCCCCTTGGTGGTTGTGAACTACCCAACTTTACGAAATGGGTGCATCAAAAGTTTCAACTGACCATTGATCCGGATAAGGAGTATCCAAAGCTGCCTCAGTCCTATCCCAAGCCCATACAGAATGCCGCCTTCCTGCAGGAGCTACGTGCGAGCACGCAAGTGGAACACTCCGGCGAAGGTGTCGACCGATTGGTGCGCTGTCACGGACAGACTCTGCACGATATCTATAGTCTCTGGCACAATCGTTTTCGACGCATACCCGATCTGGTGCTATGGCCCCGATCTCACGATCAGGTGGTCCAATTGGTACAATTAGCGCACAAGCACAACGTTATGTTGTTGCCCTATGGTGGAGGGACAAGTGTCTCTGGTGCCATCACCTGCCCGCAGGAGGAGCCACGCATGATCTGCGCCCTAGACACTTCGCAAATGAATCGTTTGCTGTGGCTGAATAGGGAGAATCTTACGGTGTGCTTTGAGGCTGGCATTGTGGGTCAAGACCTGGAGCGTGTGCTTCGCGAACAAGGCCTGACGGTGGGCCACGAGCCGGACAGCTATGAGTTCAGTACGCTGGGCGGCTGGGTGGCGACACGTGCCTCCGGCATGAAGAAGAACGTGTACGGAAACATTGAGGATCTGGTGGTGCGGGTGCGCATGGTGACGCCGACGGGAACACTGGAGCGAGAGTGCAGTGCGCCGCGCGTTAGCGTCGGACCGGACTTCAATCATGTGATTCTCGGCTCGGAGGGAACGCTGGGCGTGATCACAGAAGTGGTGCTAAAGGTGCGTCCGTTGCCGCCGGTGAAGCGTTACGGCTCGCTCGTCTTTCCGGACTTTGAACAGGGTGTGTTGTTTATGCGCGAGGTGGCCAGACGTCGCTGCCAGCCTGCCTCCGTGCGGCTCATGGACAATGAGCAGTTCATGTTCGGTCAGGCCCTGAAGCCCGAGAAAAGCTGGCTGGCCAGTTGTATGGATGCAGTGAAGCAACGCTATGTGACAGTGTGGAAGGGCATTGATTTGAAACAAATTTGTGCGGCCACTCTGCTCTTTGAGGGTGAGCTCAAGGATGTGCAGCGACAGGAAGCGCTAATCTATGAGATAGCGGGAAGGTTCAAGGGCTTCCCCGCAGGCGGACAGAATGGAGAGCGCGGCTACATACTGACCTTTGTCATTGCCTACATTAGGGTGAGCATAACCTTACAAAACTATTTATTTTATTTATAAATTTTCATACATATTTTTTTATCATGTTTCGGTTAATTCCGTTCAAAAAGAGCGCAAGGACATAAAGCCGAAAAAACGACCGTTTCCCAAAACTGAAATAGCGATTGTTGGCCTTCAGAGAAGAAACAATTTAATAATGATTTCCAGCTCTATTATCTATCTTTATTTGTTATCACTAATAATCGGATGTTAATATGATCCAGTATGTAATATAGAATTGGAGGACTATTTCTTTAGAGTTGGAAATCTATTTTTTTAGAAAAACTTCTTTTCAAAACTTCAACTGACTCCTCGTTGAAGGAAATGTTTCCCAGAATTAGTTTTATGAAAGTTTAATTTATAACCGAACAACAAGTTCTTGGAGCTAATAAAGCATATTGTTATTAGGATATTTATTAAATTTGTTTCATAATTTGTATACCCGGTACCCAAAGGATATACACGTACTAGTATTCATATTGAATAATGAATATGTCTAATTTGTGTTTCTAGGATTTTGGCCTGCATCAGGGCATTGTTGCCGAATCCTTCGAGACGTCCGTACCTTGGGATCGCTGCAGTCTGCTCTGCCGTAATGTGAAGCAGCGTGTGGTCGCGGTACGTACATACTTGTATATTGAACTAGTATGGAACCTTTATCTCTAGAACTCTTACTAATCGGCATTGAATTTGATGTTGCAGGAATGCTATAAGCGGCGAATTTCACTATATACGATTTCCTGCCGTGTTACACAAACCTATGACGCCGGCGCCTGCATCTACTTCTATTTTGGCTTTCGCTACTCGGATATACCGAATCCTGTGGAGGTCTTTGAGGCCATCGAGCATAGCGCGCGCGACGAGATTTTGGCCTGCGGCGGTTCCTTGTCGCACCATCATGGCGTTGGCAAGATTCGCAGTCAATGGTACCGCAATGCGGTCACCGATACGGGCAGTTCGCTTTATAGAGCCGCCAAGCGACATCTGGATCCTCAGAATATATTTGCGCTGGGGAACCTGCTGCCGTCAAAGGAGAAGGAAACGCCTCAGCAGAACCAGCACGAATCACCACCGAAAGCCAAACTTTAATGTGTTAAGAGAATCATACTAGTCTAATCCCCTTTTCCACTAACAAAAACCAAAAACCTTTTAGCGCTTTTCTAGCTGCTTTGTTTACTATATTTCCATCTTCGTTTGCATTTTTTTGATAGCTCACTTTTTGTATGGGTGTTACTTTTTTGATAAATAAAAGGAATACTATTTGTAAAAAAAGACGACAAAACAAATCGAAACAAAAAGTAAATGTAGGCATTCCTGCTGGTATCTCTCTCTTTAGCTGTCTGTCTGCAATGATTTCTGGTCACTTGTCGGTGGTCTGAGTGCCTGTCTGCCAGGTAACCACAAAGCCAACAAACGTCAGCGTCTGTGCGTAGAGCCGAGCTATGCTGGTGGGTTAAGGGGAAGTACCCATAGGCCAAGTGCCCTACACCCCGAGCTCAGGCACATTAGACAGCCAATGGTAATTGAGACAATAAACTGTGTGGGCTATTAAGACAAAAGTGCTCATCTAGATGTTAGCGGGTAGCGGGGTATTTTTATAGTAGATATAATAGGAATTGTACCTAAAACAAACGTAAATCATTTTTAAATACATACAAATAAGTTGGGACCTTATTATTTTAAATTTGTATTATAACGAATAATTACTTACTATAATTGTTGTTTTTTATTTGTTTTTTTATGTGAAATAAAATAAATATTGTATTTGTTTATTGATTTGTGAAATATGCAGAATATATGATTGCATTATTTAAAGAGGATGGTCAGTAATGGTCAAAAAATTGAGTACCAGAAAGTTGTACGGAAAGTGCGAGAACCACAACTCAAGACTTAACTTACACTAACCGGTCTTGGCAACAGCAAACAGACAACACGCACCAGAAAGCATCTAGACTTATGGTTCAGGCACAAGTCATTCAATTCCAATTACAAGTACTGGTGCCAGATCAAACATTTTCTGACAATCACGAAAAGATTCACGGGCAAGCTCGGAGTATCATAGGGATTAGCCATTCACCACTTTCTTGCCTTGGAACAACTCCAATACTAGCACAATACCAAGATTGAAGAACTAAGAATTGGTCTAACTCTGCGGAAGAATGCATAAACGGGATCAACAGACAGGAATTTATAGTATTATGAAGACATAGGAACTTTGGTTGTCAGCGAGGCAGAATTAAAGAGCAATTCTTACTAGGATCTCAACATTGAGCATAGTCGTGATTAGCTTACTTCTGAGTTTTCTGTAAAAGGTAATCAACATTTTTTTTATTTCCATATATTGTATTATTAGCTTTTTCATTTTACTTTTGATAATTCAAAAAATTAATATAGTTTTAGAACCCTGTACCCAAAAGGGTAAAACGACTTCCTCAATGAAAACTATTACATACTAAACAGTGCTTCTTTCTACAAGGAAGCTACCAAGTTTTTAAAATAGATTCCCGGCTTTTTGAAGCCATGACTTAGCACGCATACGTGTACGCTGTTGAAATGTCTTGCAAAGATACTGCCCATGTAGCGTCTTTCTGAGCATCCAATGGCCACCCGCTGCATACCTAGTCCGACTTAACCAAAATCGAATTGTTGTTGGAAGCCGATCGCCCAATCGACTGATCATCGTTGCAGTCATTTGCGGCTGACTGGCACAACCTTTTTTTTGCATTGTCTATAAGTGCGCCTGTCGTCTATGTTGAGAGCATGCCGCACAGTCTGGAGATCAAATGTCATCAAGTTGTCAACTTCGTTAGCATGCAAACAGCAACAGCAACAACAACGACAACAGAAACAACAGCGACTCCAACGACAACAAAATGCAAAATCTTTGTGCCCAAGAGGCTGACAGGCTGCTCGTTAATAGCATTGAGATTGAGGCGCTTGCTGCAGCAAGCAGATGCAGACGATGCACAGTCACCGCCTTATTGATGGCCAATGTTTTGTTGCTGGTTTGGCTTGTTGCTGGTTACTGGATGCTGGTTGTTGGTTGCTGGTTACCCCTAAGCTCCTTAAGCTTGGCAGTGGGCAAGCACGCACACTCGCACACTCGCACTCACACATCCGCTCTTTGCCTATAAATAAAGATTACAATCAAAAGTCACAGAAGTTCACCCATGGGCGCTGCTGCATGGACTGCAATCTAAGTGGCCAAAAAGTCGCCAAGACTTTCAGTGGTTGTTGTGGTTCTGGTTCTGGTGGTGGTGGTGGTGGTGGCTGGAAATTGTCAGCAATTAACCCGGGGGTCATTTGCCTGCCTTGCAGTCCTGTGATTTATGTCCTAAAGTGGCTTAAAGCCAAACATAATCAACGCAGCTAGTACGCAGCAACCCGGCACGAATCTCTGACAGTCCTCCAAACGCAACTCCTGCCACTTGCGCACGTTTCCCGAAAAATCAAACAAAAACAAACACAAAGCAGTGGAACGCTCAAAAGAACATTAAGATGGAAGGGCACAAAGGAATGTCTAACATTGCTCAGTCACGGATTCGTTTGTTTTGATGAAAATTCTAAGGCCAAGCATTGAGAATGCAGCAACACGCACGCAATGCGCCGGCGTCTACCTGAGCAACGTGCAACAGCATTCATTTGCATAAGTATGTGACCCTCGGAGAAGGAAAATGCAGAGAGCGTGCAGGCTGACTAATAGAAGCCTTGCCAGAATGTTGCTCATGCAATGGCAGCATGTTGCCAAGAGCAGCCGCATGTTGCTGAGTGTGGAAAAAGCAACAGCAACAACTTTTCCTTAACAGTCTGAGCTGTTAAAGTTAACTCTGCAGAAAATGTTAAATTCCCAACTATAGTGCTATAGTGGAGATTGTACTTATCAAAGAAATCACACTACGCTGGTCTTCAATTCTACTAATAGGTTGACCTTTTGCTTAGCTGAAAACAATTTATCGATTAAATCATCATGTAGTTCATTCAAGCTCTAACTTTTGCGTATCCTTCCGGAATATTAGTTATTTTCCAACCAACGGTCATTTTTTCAAATGATTAACATTTCTGATAAATCTGAATTCATTTACAATCAACATCAGTTGCAGAAATACCACTAATACCAAAAAAAAATACATACCCACATCTTCGAGAACAATAATTTAAAAGCGTTTCGAATTCGAAAGAATTTACCAATATCGACTCTGCATAATTGCATCCAATTCAGAGAATGCCTGATGGACTATATTTTGTGTAATTAACACTTTTTAGGATAAGATTTTGTAGAAGCATGCTGGATAATTTCTTTTTTGCAAAACACATATTCTAAAGTGGAGTTCTGAAGCTGATAGCTAATGCACTATACATTTTTTAGACACCCTGAAGTGTCTATTATGATACACAAATGTACATATGCTTTAAATGTTCTTTTCATTTGGCTAAGTAACAAAATCAATTAATTTAGATTCTTTAAGTGCTGATAACAGTATCCAGAAATAACGTACGAAATGAAATAAGGAATGTTTCTGTATAATTTGGAATTATGTACATAGTTTCGATGGTTAATATTATCATTAAAAGGATGCTTACCATAATTATAAGACGCCTAATTATTAAACATTGTAAGCTGCATACCCTTAAGTATAAAATAAATTACTTTTTGATTTTTAAGCAAACAATATTAATATGTCTTATCAATTTGATACAGTTGCAAATAGGCAATAATATGAGCTTTCTTAGTAGAGCTTACGGTACTTTCACAATCTTATACTTTTATACTTTATACTTATAAACCTAAATTATTTTTATTTTTCAAAATTGAAAATAAAATCTTTGAGGTGTCTTATAATTATGGTGAGCACCTATTTATTGTTTTGATGTATGTATTTTGGTATGTATTTGTATATTTTTATTATGACAACTGACCGATTATCGATTTTAAGCGTCATGCGACAATCACGACAAAAAAAAAACCAACAACATTCGCAGCAACAGCTGAGTGTTTAACAGAAGAATTTTTGCAACAGACAATGTTAGCATTAACAGTGCTCTGGCCAGTCTTGGCAACATTCGCAGTCACGTCGCACCTGGCTCTGTCTTTGGTGAGCCTCAATCGGAGCTCAGTTGTTCGTAACGTGTCGGGCGCCCAACAACGTCAATTAAACAAAACAAGATTGTTAAGCACGCGTTTCTATTAGAACTTTGAGGCTTTTAGCAACACGGAAAGAAAGAGAGAGAGAGAGAGAGAGAGTGGGTTGAGAGCATTCAGAGAGTAAGCGGCAACTTTATTTGAATCGTGGCAGCAACAGATCGTCGGTCGGCAGCTGCTGCTGCTTTTGTTGCTGCAGTTTCATTTCGTGCGTGTAGCTTGCAACACATGCGATGCGATTTGGGCGCGTTGCCTGCATTATCAAAAATAACAATAACAACAACAAGTATTGCGTTTTCCGTGCGATTTGTCAAATTGTTATTACGTGAGTGTGCGCGTGTGTGTGGGAAAAAATGCAACAAATTGTCACGCTCATGTTCATTAGCTGGATTTAAACGTTTCGAGTGGTTTTGGTGTTGCATGCTGTTGCGATAGTTCGCATGATCGTTCAGTTGTTGTTTTATTTGTCTGTTTTAATATATATATATTTTTTTTGGTTTTTTGTAATTTTGTAATTGGCGGTAGCTGCTTTTGTTGTTCCTTTACGAGCCGCTGAACAGGTGCGTCAATGCACGAAACGTTAAACCTTTTTAGAAAAAACAAAACTTTAAGTGCAGCAAATAAGTGCGTATAAAAAATAACAACAAAAATGTTGTCAAGTGTTTAGCTATAAAAGCTAAAACAAGTCGAATTTTAACCGTAGTTGCAGACAACCAAGACTGACTGAGAAAACATTAAAAATGCATTAGAGAACAAGCTTTCTAACAAACGCCAAGAGCCAGCGCTCGCTCATCTGCCCACCTTTCCAAGCGGCAACACGACATGTGTTCTATGTGCGTTTGAGCCTTTCATCAGTCGGTCCGTCAGTTAGTCAGCTAGTCAGCCAGTCAGCCAGTCCGTCACTCATTCAGTTTTTATACTGCTTTTGTTAACTACAAATGCACCTGCAATGACTCGTAAAAATGTTCCAGCAATTTGCAGTCAACTGTAAGATGCCTTCCTGCTGTGCCCTGCTGCCTAGGCCTTCACTAAGCCGCTGTCTGTCCAACTGTCTTCCTCAGATTGACTCATTAAATATTTTGCACTAAAAACAACCCACACAGTTTGGCCAGAAAGTGTTTTATATCATGTGCTTTTTCGTACGTATTTTACGACCAAAGCGAGCCAAAAAGAACAGAACCAAGGTAAAGGCACCTGGCACTTTTTGGATAAGCTCTGCCTTTCTGGTGGCCGCGGGGAGGTGCTGTGTTTTTAATTTGTGGTCAAGCATTCGCTATGGACAGTTTAGCCACCAACGCAAATATTTTCTAAGAACGTTTGCTATGAGTATGTGGTCTGTGAGTGGGTTGCCCTGACTGGGCTTACATACTTTTGTGATTGGCTTGACAGTCGAAATATGCTGGCAAAAAAAAAAATTGGAATTCTAACCAAATCAATTTTTACATATTTATATAATTTTATATTAAATTGATGCTATATGTGCTATATATGATGATATAAATAATAAAATACGTTTGATTTCATTTGAGCGTACTTCGACTGGAATGTTCTCGAAGTAGTGAAGCGTATGCTCGTAGTTGAAGGTTGTTGCCATTAAAATGGGGAATTGGATATGCTGGTCCTATTTAAAATCAAAATCTTATGAACTGTGCTTGTTTTTGTAGAATATTTGAAGAAATATTGAGACAAAAAGCAGAGCAAATGAAATATTAAAATTGGTGGCTCTTTCTTTAATACTATTCAACAAAACAGGAGCAGATCATCTTGGCAAAATTTCTAACAGCCTACGAACAGAGTACCACGTTTTTATTTGTACTTGCAAAAATCTCCAAACTGTTATAGAAATTTATCGCAATGACGCTAGTCCATAACTTTGATGTAGTTTGATTTCAAGAAACACTCATTAGAGATAAAACAATGACAATTTTTTTGGTGCCAAATTATTGGATACAATGGCATGGCTGTCAAGGATTGAGAAACTTATTATAATTTATATCAGAGATTGAATTAAAAGAAATGTTCTCATTAAATGCCAATTACGTCATAGCTGCACTTAATGTATTTTAAAAGTTGTACTTGTTATTGAATATAAATGAAGATCTATTAAGTAGATGTGGCCGACTCTAATAGTAGATTACATGCTTAAGTCGCCGTTCAGCTTAAATCCAGACAAATGCTTGTTTGCCAGCGAAAACATCATCAGCGATGTTAGCCAATAACTCAGCAACTAAGCCAACAACTACAACAGCAATGTGCGTACGTGTTATTATAGTGAGCAATAACAACAACAACAACAACAACACCAGCAGCAGCAGCAGCAACATGAACAGGCAGCGAGGTAAATGCAGTCAAGGCGCGCTTAATTAACATGCAACTGGCAACGGCAACAGCAACAAATGCAACAATAACAGCAACAAACACACATCAAAGGTGCAATCACAGATATCAAAGAGTCGCTGCCTGGACTGCAGTTTGCATGTCCCATAGTCCCAATAACAACTAACAACAACAACAACAACAACAGCAACAACATAAGCAGTCGACGACGAGCAGTCTAACGTAGTTTTCCAATCAGTCGGCGGGGCGCAGCAACTGCTGCTAATGATGACGACATGGAGGCTTTGCCCTGCAGCTGCTAATTAAAGTGCAGCACCACACAAATTGGCAAAAGGCAAGAAGAGCAGAAGAATAGCAGCAGCAGCAACAACAACAACCAAACTAGCAGCAACATTCTACAGACCCGGGAACAAGCACAACATATCAGTAAAATGTGAGTAGCAGCTGCCATTTGACTTTCTTTCAGTTATACTTGTATGCGAGCATAGGTATTGTCGTCTCCTACGGCAGCAGTGCGACTTTCTAAGCCAGTTGCCAATTTTGTGCAGTCGCCGCTGTTCAGATTTGGCCATTTCGAGCGCAACAGCAACTGAGTCTGTCGCCAGTTTTGTCGCCAATTGTTTGCCGGTATCTGTGACTGGGTCGCGTGTTTGACACAAATGCCTCGCATAGTTTTGAAGGCGGTTCGGCTGCTCCGCGCATATGGTCAGAACCGGAGTGCTGGCCAGTTGTGGGCTTCCTGCGCTGCGCCGCGCTGCACAGTGCTGATTGTATTTTAATGGCTAGGCTCCCAACTGTATCTGCGAGATGCCATGTACTTGTATTAACGAATCGCCGAAGAACCGGCGGCCAAATGTTGCATGTTGGTCCAAGCAGCTGTGGCGCAGCCCCAAAAACTGAACATACAAAAAAATAATAATAAAAGATAGATATAATAAGCAATATATATGTATAGCGCACGCAATTTTTCGGGAAGCAAGAAACGGAATAATTGCGATGCGTGTCTGTATATCAGCTTTTGTATTCTTCTAAAAAGTGGAGAGTTAATTGTTCGCCGGAAGTAAATCTTTAAATTGAAATACAATGCCATTAGCTGGCCGAACATTTTTTCAGCTCAGATATTATCGATTATTCATGTAAAATTCTTTAACAAACACAACTGCCAAATTCTAGTTTGAAATTGTCCTTTTCTAAATGGTATTGATCTTTTACTTTAATTCTGAAATTTATTTTCGATTGTGGGTTTTTTTTTTATGTAAAAGCTTACCAAGTTAGGACTTACTTAGTAACAGAGTTCTGGCTACTAAGCACATCGGTTGTACAAGGGTGTAAGTCGTGGAGTATTTGTATTCGAAAACATGGCTTGGACTGATAAGTTCCTTTCCAATATACATATATTCTTCATTTGCTGATATTTCATTTTGTGGGGTTGGTAAGTGTTTTTATTTAAATTTGTAATTATTGTCTTGACATGAAATTGAGTTGTATTCAATTGACAAAATAATGTAACATTCAGGGATAATGCTGGTGGCTTAATATATCTTGGTTCCGAGCTCCGAAGCTATATTTTAAATTTAACATCATTATTTTTTTAATTTATTTTGCTTTATTTTATTCATCTGAGATATAAATATGTACATATTTGCAAGTGTATAGTGTAGCTTAAGTCTATTATCAATTGTAAAAGAAAAAAACTGGCAAAGAAACCCTTAATTATAATGCACGCAAGTAATGCAATATCTGTGTATCGTTTATATAGAATAATAGAGTAATTCACATTATTTATAGTTTTACTAATGTGCTCTGAAAAAAGATGCATTTTATCAAAATGAACGCCCATATAGCGAACGCAACTATCCCATTTTATATGTGTTGACAATTACATTATATATTAAAAATTGTTAACAATAAACATTCCTGTGCTGGAATGGACAGAACAAATTAAAAAGATATGTGATCAAAAATAGTTGCATTGTTTTTTAGTGACGTGTGTTGGGTTCGCCATTCGGCGATTTGTCTTTTATGCATTTAAAGAGCTGCTTTAAAAGTGCTTGGCATAGTTTCGCTAATGCAACTGAACAATTGAAAAGTATCTTTTGTAAGCTGCAATCAACAGTCCGACCGCCTGAGTTCGTGTGTTGCACGGCTCTTAATAGGCTTAAGAGGGTTGGGTAATGCAGTAGACCCGCGGCGGGTCTTTGAGATTGCTCGCCGAGCGGCGTTCGTCGTGAATTGCGTTAGCTTTGAAGAAACAATTTGCCACGCCCTGCCCCTGCCCCTGCCCCTGCCCAACGCTGCCGGCAATATTAATAACAAAATAACAAAATAACGAGTAACGAATAACGAACGTGTGCAACCGAATTAGCCAACAGGCAGTGCCAACAACAATCTGCGACCCTCGCGCTTTTGACTTCACTGAACTTGACTGGCAAAGTAAATAAGCCAGCCAGCCAGCTAGCCGGACAGCCAATAAATGTCCAACAGTGCACAAAGGCCATAATAATAAACTTAAATAGACATACATAATAAAGAGGCAGTCACACACACACACACTCACAAAAAGCTGAAAACTTTAAACTTATTGCCAACAAATTTGTGCGCTAGTCAGGCAGCAAAAAAGAAAAAACATGAAAAAAAACCAACCATGCTAAAGTTTTTATGCAGTCTGTTGTTAGTGTTGTTAGTTTTGTTGTAGCTATATTATTTTTTAGTGGCAGTCATTAGCCAAGTTATGAACGCCAGTGCGGGTACACAGTAGCAATGACCACGCAGACACTGGCAGCTAAAAATATTTGCATAACATTTAAAAGTGAAGTATGTCGTTGTGATTTTTCCGATTGCTAAAGTAAAACAAATATTGTTACACTAAAAGTTTAAATGAAATATTGAGCAGACGAGCTGGCCAGAGAAACTGGAAACTGTGGACGAGTATCATCCTAACAGCATTATTAACCTAGCCTAACCTATACTCCATACCCAGAAGGTCGTACCACACGAAGCATATATAGTCTTGAAACAGAAGACAAGCGCAGTCGATATAGATTTGCCGGTTGGTCCTACGCAAGGATCTAAAATATTTATTTTCAATATTTCCTTTCTTTTCTTCCCCCACTTTATGGCTTTGAAGAGTCAACAGCAAAGAAGTTTGTTGTACTTGTACTTGGATTTAATGAGGTTAGATTATACCCATGGACCGCCATTGGTCTAGGGACCGAGTTGGTCCTTAGTGTCGCTGGGTATTGGATATCAGTTCGAAGAGGTTTGGTTTAATGTTTTGAAAATGCCGCACTACTGGCAAGTACAAGTAGTATTTCAATCTAGTTCCTTTAGTTTTCTGCATCTGTTGTCTTAGCAGTGAACTGCGAGAGGTCCTGTTATTCCTTTTCTGCAGTTCCTGAAGGTATTAGGAGAATCCGAATAATATAATTTACATGATATGCTTGCAAAACTTGTAAAATTTGCAGGCAAAGGACTAAGCTACATTAAATATAAATTCTAAGCATTTTATAACAAGTAAGCATAACAATTTTTAGTTTAATTGACATTTAAAAATTCATTAATTACACTTAATTTGTGATTTTCTTGTCTCAATATAAATATCAATGCTATTAAATAAATAAATTTACAAGAGAAGGAAGTTTTGCAGCTCGATTTGATTTGCGTGCGTTTTAGATGCGTTTTTCTTGCGTTTTTAGCGCGTTTTTAAAAAAGGTGCCGATTTTGTTTGTGGTTTGCAAGTGTCTTTAAGCTAATCATGGGGCACACGTTTCGTTAATCGATTATATGAAATCTAAGCTTTACTAATGCGCTGTGTGGTTTGTTAATATTGCTACAACAACAACAACAACAACCACAACACCAACAATAGCTATCATTTAAAAAGCCAAACCACAAAGCTGCACAAGTCGTGTCAAAAATTGCTTTGTATTTTGTCTCTTATTTCTTTTTTTGTGTGTGTAGCGATTTGTTTGAGTTGTGCCGCCGAACTGAAAAACTTTGGAGATGCTGCGCCATGGCTTTGCCGCTTTCGGTACGCCTATGTGGTGGCTTGGCATTTTGGCCAGTCACGCTGCAAGTTATTTGCGCCATCGCGTCGTGCCCAAAAGTTCTCCCTCTCTCTGTTATTATTGAAACTGCTTGGGCTGCACTTTCGTCTGAGACTGCGACTGGGACTGGGACTGGGACCGGGTCTGGGTCTGGGACTGGGACTGTAACCTGAGCTTTGATTTATGCAGTTTTCAACGAAAATTGTTGCATTTCATTTTTTTTTCTGCTGTTGTTCTTCTTGCCTTCGTCTTTGGTTAACCGGCTGGGCTTTGTGTTTATAAAATATATTGTCAAGAAAAAAAAAAAACACAACACATTTTTTGGGCTTAGCTCAATGCGTTTAACGGTGAGTGCACTTTTACACACTTGTTGTTGAATTTTGATATGTGGTGGGAAAGTTGTTAAATTGGTCTGGGTGGCATATATTTCTTTTGGCAGCTGCTTACGCTTTAATAAGGTGAGATCTCACATCTCGTCTCTTTCGACTCAATCTAAATCTACAGATAAGTAATTTTTATTGACATTTTTACTAACCTTTTTTTTAATGAGATTTACAGGCTTTAGTATACACTCTTATTGCAATTTGTCGAAAGTAAAAATTGATTTTCAATACATGTTTTTGAGTTATGTCTAAAGCAAATAGTTTATCATTGCTTTTCAATTACTTGTATACTATAGCGTCCAGAAAAAATACTGATTGCAAGAATATATTTGGAAATATATTTATCAAAACCTATTTACTTACATTCGACAGTTCGTTTCAAATTAAGAATAATTCAATTTAAACGAATTTAATAAATGGGCTACATATGAATATTTATTCCTATTCGTCCATTACGGAGCTCAGGGACGATCGGTTTCAGTTTTGGTAGTGATTTGGGATGCATATTATATCCTAGCATTGGTGCTGCCAGTTCTCCTTCAGGTGGGAAAAGTTTCGACAGTATTTCTTCTGCTCAGATGGTAAGGCTTATCCGCCTTTTCACCTCGTTGGTGAAAGTAAAGGCAGATGATTCTAAAGTTTTGGAGGAGTGTCTAAAACTTACAAATATCCAATGCTCTAAACTATTTAAAAAATGTTCTTAACTATACGAGTAGCAGCAGCACGACTCCCATTTGTGTGTCATTCGAAAACAACAACGATCGTCTCGAATACATGCACCATACATAAGCTAATTAAATTGTTTATTCAAATTGTAATGCTAATTAAATGTTTGCTTGTAAAAACAATTATCAATTGTACACTTTACTGCGCTGTTTACACAATTGCCGCCTTATAAGTATAAGCGATCGAGCAGCGATCGGCAATCGACTTGGTGGCCCATCATCGTCGCTGCCGATAGCTGACTGAACTCTAAGTAGCCCAGTGCCAGTCTGTGAAATAAT